CTCTTGACTCCACTTACCCAAGGGGATTTCAGGCCCCTTTCACTCGTCCCTCTGACTCCACTTACCCAAGGGGCTTTCAGGCCCCTTTCACTCGTCTCTCTGACTCCACTTACCCAAGGGGCTTTCAGGCCCCTTTCACTCGTCCCTCTGACTCCACTTACCCAAGGGGCTTTCAGGCCCCCTGTCGCTCTTCCCTCTCACGCTGGCTTACCCTGAGGCCTTCAGGCACCCTTTCCCACTCCCCCAAGACAGGTGAGGAGTAGAGGAGGTGGTATGAAACCCTCAAAGGCAAGGAGAGGGCAAGATAGGGGAGTGGGGTTTGAAACCTCAAGGTAAGCAAGTGAACGGCAAGAGAGGGGGTTGAACCTCCCAGGTTAAGGCGAACAGACAGCAGAGGAGGGGGGTTCCTCTGCCCTTCCAGCCCTAGCCTGGGGGTTCCAACCCCCCTTCCCCCCTGCCCCTCACTTGCCTTTCCCTGCGGTTTCAAACCCCCCTCCGACACACCCCTTACCCTGGAGGGTTTCAAACCCCCTCCACTGCCCCTTTGCTCACTCCTTACCCACCTCCCCTCCCTCACTTACCACCACCACCACCACTTCCTCTCACCACCATAGATTCCCACCCCCCCCCTCCCCTCTCCCCCGCCTTCATCTGTGAGCAGTAGGAGCAGCAGACAGCCCACTCCCCTTGGGAAGCAGCACCCCAGAGAGTGCACCTCGTGGGGCGAGGTGTGGCAGTGGAAAAGCGCTTCCAGCCAAAGACTCAAATCCCACCCCTGACGTGGCTAGAGCTGACGCGAACCAGAGCCGCCGGCCGGCCGACTCTGACGGTGTCCATTAAGCCTTAAACGCCAGATCGGTTACTTGAGCACCCAGTGCCGTGCCGCGCAGATTGCACCCACCACACCCCACCCACAACGTGCAACCACCAAGGATGCTGACCCTAAGGCAGGGGGCTGACTGCACACTCCCATGCTTCCCCCCCCCCCTCCCCTCTCCCCCCACCCTCCAAACCCCCCAGTCCCTCATGCCAGCAGACCCTTACCTCCCCCTACCAGAGCGATGCAGAGTGGTGCCATGTTGCCTGAGGCTGCTGGGAGGGGAAGGGGGATTATGGTGGGGAATCCGCTCCCTCAGAGCTCAAGACATGCTGCTGGGGAAGGGAGGGGAGGTGAGTGGGGCGAGGGCGGGGGGGGGGGGGGGGGGTTGGCTGGGGGGGGAAAGGGGGTGAAGGGGCTCCACTCTCCTGGCTTGTTCCAGCGCTCCGAGATCCACCCTCCTGCCCTTGCTGCTGCTGGGGAGGGGGGGGGAGGAGAGAGGGGAAGGAGAGTGAGGGGAGAGGGACTCCACCTCCAGCTGTCCTTGCTTCAGAGCTCCGATCCTGAGGGGATGAGGAGAAGAGAGAGGGGGGGATCCAGATCACCATACCTCACCTGTTACCATCCCTCACCTGTTACCATTACCTCGGTCACTCACCAACTAGACCTAGCCTGCCCTCTAACCGTCCCAAGTCCAGCTGCTGCTGCTGCTGTTGCTGCTGCTCTGCTTCACTGCTGCAATCTTCAATGGATGCCAAGCGACCTGGTAGGGGTAGAATGGGGAGGCACACAGGGGAGGGAGGTTGGGAGACCATGTGAGACTAGAAGCGAGGGAAGGGTGAGGTTGCAGCGAAACAGAAGATAAACCAGCTGTGAACGAGAAGGAATTCAGAAGTGCAAAATACGGATTGCAGCAGGGAAGAGGAAGCAACGAGGAACGCAGCAGCAAATGAGCCTCAGGGCGAGGAAGCGAGCATGAGAGCTTACCTTGAGAGGCCAAGCCCACCCCCAGATACTCTCCCTCGTGCTGCTCAGTGATGACTGTGCTGCCTCGCCCCCCATCCCCCCACAGCCACCGGGGAGAGGCATGAGGTCGCGTAGGTGCTGACCCCCACGCCACTCCCCTCCACCTGCAATGCACACACACCAGCGCTAGTCAGTGCACAGTTATGGGATGAAGGGAGAATGGGAATCAGCGAGAACTGCAAGAATTGAAAGGCGGGAAAGGGGAGGGAGGGGCCACTGGTAGAAGCCCAACCACGAGCCACAGACCCCCAGGGGACCTGACGGCTGAACCTGAGGGGGCTGTTAAGGCTTTACCTGACGGGTTACCTGGGGGGGGGTGTACCAAAAATACCTAAGGGGGTCAACCTGCAGTAGGTGGGTGCTGTGGCTAGTGAGTTGGGCCCCAACCAGTGGCTTCATTTGAATGGGAGGAATTGGAAGCATGGAAGCGAGCACGAGCAGAATGAGGCAAGAAGCATGAGCAGACAGCTGCATGCATAGCCAAGGCAAGGGGGTAGAAGGTACTTAGCTGGACACCTGAAGCGCTGCTTGATTAGCTGCCTAGTCCCCCATTCCCCTCGCCCAGTGCCCCCTCCCTTTGCCTGCTGCCCCCTCCGCTCTTGACTGCTGCCCCCTCCCTTTGCCTGCTGCCCCCTCCACTCTTGACTGCTGCCCCCTCCACTCTTGACTGCTGCCCCTCCTGCTGCCCCTCCTCCCTCCCACTGCTCCCTGCGAGGGAGACAAGGGGCGGGTGGAGAAAGGAGAAAGAAAAAAAGGCTGGATTTGGAGCCGAGCCTCCGCTGGGTTGGAAGGCAGAGAAGCAGAGAGAGGAAAGGAGGGCATGCTGCGACTGACGCGGAATACAGGCAAAGGAAAGGGACAGGAGGGGCGACTGGGATTGGGCTGGGCTTACCTTGAGAGGCCAACCCCACACCCAGATACTCTCCCTCGTGGCAGCCCTCCTCCCAGCCCTTCCACGTGTGCACCTGCACGGCCACAGGGGAGGGGCGAGCGGGAGTGTCGGTGTTGACCCCACGCCCCTCCCCTCCACCTGCAATGCACACACACAGCGCTGGTCAGTGCACAGAGGAGGGATGAGCGGCGAATGGTAACTGACAAAACTGCACGCGAGAGAAGAGAGGGGCCACTGGTGGAGGGACGAGCACAAGCCACAGACCCCTGAGGGGACCTGGGGGTTGTACCTGCAGTAGGGGTGAACCTGGGGGGCTGTGAGGGGGGCTGAACCTGAGGGGGATATCGGCAGTATGGGTCTGTGGCTTGTGAGCCGAACCCAACCAGTGGCCAGATTTTGAGGGAGAAAACGCGGAAGCACGAGAAAGGGAGGACTTGAAAGGTTATCCAAACGAGAAAGAACTTGAAAAGCCAGCAGCATGCCAGGCTGAGACCAGGCCCGGGAGGACAAGGGACTTAGCTGGACGTTGGAGCGCTGCTGAATGTGGGCTCCCCACTCCCCTGTTGCGCTCGCCTGCCGTTCCTCCACCCATCCCCATGGCCCGCGGGTACCTGCACGGCCACAGGGGAGGGGCGTGAGGGAGTGTTGGTGTTGACCCCACGCCCCTCCCCTCCACCTGCAATGCACGCACACAGAGCTGGTCAGTGGGCAGTGGGGGGACTAAGGGTGAGTTGTAACTGAGACAAGTTACAGCTGCATGCAATGGGAGAGACGGGCGGACCACTGGTGGAGGCGCGACCACAAGCCACAGAGCCCAGGGCCACCTGGGGGAGTGTACCTGCAGTAGGGGGTGAACCTGGGGGGCTGTAAGGCTTAGGGGGCTGAACCTGAGGGTTTTACCTGCTGAAGGGGGTCTGAGGGTTGTGGGCCGCGCTTAACCAGTGCGCAGATTTGGAGAGAGGAAACATGGAAGCAGGAGTGATCGAATTGAGACATGAGCTGGAGCAGGTAGCAGCATGCAAGGCCAGGTCCAGGGGCGAGAAGGCACTTAGCTGGACGTTGAAGCACGGAGGGTGGCCTCCACTCCCCTGCCCCTCCTCCACTCTCCCTCCCTTGCTCCACTCTCCTGCCGTTCCTCCCCCATCCGCGCGGGTACCTGCACGGCCACAGGGAAGGGGGGTGAGGGAGTGTCGGTGTTGACCCCACGCTCCTCCCCTCCACCTGCAATGCTCACACACAGTGCTGGTCAGTGTGCGGTGAAGTGGCCAGGGCATGCATGTATGTGGGGTGAGGTACCGGGGGGGAGAAGGGAGGGGCCACTGGTGGAGCGCCAGCTGCAAGCCACAGACCGAAGAGGGTTATACCTGAGGGCGTGTGGCTGAACCTGAGGGCTGTACCTGCTGTACCTGGGGGGGGTCCACCTGCAGAGAAGGGGTCTGTGGCCTGCGAGCTGTGCTGCCACCAGCAGCACCGGTTTGAAGGAGAGAACGAACGATGCAGCTGAGCTGCCACCAGCGGAACGATGCAGCAGCAGAGCGAGTGACGGCAGCAAAGAGCATGGCGGGGCGAGCGTGCGAGGGTAGAGGGATGGAACCACTTAGCTGGAAAGTTGAGCCGAGTGAATCTGCTGCCTGCGCTGCCGCTGTGCTGGCGCTCATGCTGGTACCTGCAGCCGTCCCTGCAGCCCCGCATGCTGCTGGCGACGGGGCTGACGGCGATCAGAGGCACTCGCGTTGCCTCCCACGCGCCAACAGCGAGGCGACAGGTAGAGGGGGTGTGGCGGGAGGGCGGGGGGAAGGGGCGAAACCACGAAGGTCGTTGGTGCATGCAGTCTCGGAGAAAGACACAGCACCAGCGACAACGACTCGACTCTTTAGGCAGGCAGCCTTTGCTAGACGCCTACGCGCCCCCCCTCCTCCCTCGAGTTGAGAGCATACCTTTCAACTGTGGGAAGAGGCGACAAGTGCACAACAAGTGGGCTGATGCGCGCTGATGCCAACGTCGCTGGCGCTGATGCCTTGCAGCCGTTATTGCAGCCGTTATTGCAGCCGTTACTGCAGCCGTTACTGCAGCCGTTACTGCAGCCGTTACTGCAGCCGTTATTGGAGCCGTTACTGCAGCCGTTATTGCAGCCGTTACTGCCGCCCGGCATGACGCGGGCGACGGTGGACGCGGCGATCCCGAGGCACTCTCTCGTTGCCTCACACGCGCCAACAGCGGTCGAGGAGCGCGGAGGGACGGGCGGGGGGGATAGGGAAGACACGCCAGGAGAAAAATAGACGTTAGTACGCACTGGATATCAATCAAAGACGCGAGGACATGGCAACGACTCGACTCTGTCGGCAGGCGGCCTTTCCTAGACGCCTACGCGACCCCCCACCTCCCTCGGATTGCAAGCATACCTTTCAACGGCGAATTAAAACGACGCGTGGAAGAGGGCGAGCAGCCGTGAGAAGGCACGCGCTGCAGCAGCAGGGGAGGTAGCGCCTCGTGAGGGTGCAGCAGGTAGGTCGGTAAGTCGTGACGTGCACACGCGTGCAGCTCCCTCGTCTCGAGTCCCTGCACATCGCAACGCGGAGAGTTAGACGCGGACCAGAAACGACTAAGAAATCACGGTTAAATTTAATAACGAACGAAAATTACGGTATCTGCTCGCATGTTCTTACCCGCAGACAGTTGAGAGCAGGTAGATGTGACGACGCGCGGAAATTCATGCGTCTCGTACGTTCAGGACTTGCAGACACCAATCTGCAGCAACGTTAGAAGAATGTCGTCGAATCAGCTTTGATGTAGAATCAGCTTTATGTAGAATCAGCTTTATGTAGAATCAGCTTTATGTAGAATCAGCTTTAAGTAGAATCAGGAAAACAAGCGTTACGAAAAGCTGACTTGCAAAAAATTACCTCGAAAATCGCGAGAGCGTTCAGAAATTTCTATCAAAACGTTGCCAAGTCCCGTAGGCTCTTGTGACATCTGCAGCACCGGAAAACAGAACGTCTGATCAGCATCACAGAGACGAATAGAATACAAGTTGTTAATAAAGAGGAAGTTACGGTAACTTACTAGAAAAACCGCGAGCGGCCTTCAACAAAATCGACCGAAGATAGCTACTCCAGCTCGTGTGCAATCATTCATCAGCGCGCCATTCGGACGCGAAGAAAATCGGAGATCCATCCGCATATCTGAGGAGTAACTCTCTCGCTATGAGCGACTGCTTGTGCTATCGTCTGGCAGCCGAGGAGGGACGGAAACGAGTTTCCGAGGAGCGAAATGGAGTTGCGGCGTGCAGAATGGCCACGGACGAGCAGAATGACGCAAGAATGAGCAAAAACGGAGGAGAAATGAGCTCGGGCGAGGTGGAAAACGGGCGTTGGGCGAAGTGGGTTCTGCTGAGCGGAGACGGATCGACCACACGTTGGGGGACTCCCAACCGAAACCGCATCGCGTCGGCTGCTAATTGCTGCTAAAATCGGCTGGATTTTTTCATTTCGCAGGCGGGAGGCAGAAAACGAACCGTTAGCCTACCAAAATTCTCTAGAAATCGAGCACGATTGGCTGAAACGTGGGACCACAGAAGTGGTCGGATCGCGAACTAAAAGGTAGGGTCAGCGGCGACGAAGCGCTGTGAAAGTTGGAGCGAGTTAGCGAGGTAAGGGCGATGTGAGCGCCGCCATAGCAGGCGTGGTGTCTGAAGTTGGGCAGTGCTGGTTCACCGGACTGAAGGCTCTCGGCAGATCTGATTCGCCCGAATTGCAAGTTGCTCATCTCGCCCTCCTGAAACCCTAGCACATCTGGTTGGGAAGGGAGGAAGGGATCTAGCATTTTCAGCCCGGAGGGCATTTTCAGAACTGCGGTTCTCCTCAAGATCTGGAAGTTTGAGCGCTGGTTTCAGCTGTAACAGGAGACATGCAGCCCAGAAACGAAAGGAAAGTGAAATGATCGGGCGGGACTTCAGGTCTTTCGCCTGTTCCACCACTGACACAAATCTGAAGTCGGAGAGAGTTTCGTAACTCACGCGACAATGTCCGAGTCGGTTGTTTGGTCCGTTGCACTCGACAGTATCGGAAATAGAGCCCAAGAAGTCTTGTCCCCATCAAAATACAGTTTCTTTCAGGTGTGATACCAACTTGATATTATTAGCACTCGCTTTCAAAGCAAAATTATGGAAGTTAAAACTTTGTGTAGCCATAGTCTCCTCTACATTGAAGCCATACTTTGTTTTGGCATCATATGTTGGAACTTGGAGTATACTTCATCATAAATATTATTCATAGAGTTGTTACCTAATAACAGCACAAATACTTGAAATATGGTGCGAGATGGGCAGAACACTAGTGCAGACATGTAGTCAACTCTTACCTGCTGTTAGGTGATGCACTCCCTTACACCAAAACGTTATGGCTGACATAGTGAGTCAGGGATGGCAGGGGGAACATGGAACAAAAACAACGGCTTGTGTGGAATACGTGCGTACCCTCTGCTCAGTGCATGAGGCTTCTGAAAATGGCGCGGAGAGCTTGGAATGCTTACTGTAAGCAGGGCTTGGAAGCCAGAGCATTCGCAGAGCTTCCCTGACTCCATTCACCCAAACATCGACTTCATCAGGTGGGCGGTAGACCCCAGCGGGCAAGCCACCAGCACCACACCAGCTCTCCCCCTCCCTTACCCCCTTCCCCCCCCCCCCCCTCCCCCCCCCCCGGCCCCCTCTCTTGCAGTCAGTGCCAAGCCGACACAAACACGGTGGGCGTGCCCCGCCACCTCAACTCCGCCGACGCCCCGAACCACCGTTCGTCCACTTTCAGCTCAAACCGCGCATCCCTCCCTTCTGTCGCGGCTCTCATCGCCTCCACAGTGTCCCGATGCATCGATTTGGGCCGGAACCCAGCCGCCTCCACCCTCTTCCTCCACTGCTCCAGCCGCTCTGTTCTCAGCCACCGGTGTGTGCCCTCGCACGCGACACTGTTCATCATGTCGTGCGCCAGGAAGGACTCACACGCCAGGCGCGGGGCGGCGGCGTGTGGAAAGCACGCGTCGAGCGACTCGACGATGGCTGCGAAGGTGCGTGCGACGTTCTGGAAGCGCGGGAGGAAGAAGGGGCCGTTGGCGTCAGAATCTAGGTCTATGTGGAGGAAGAGGAGGGGGGACAGGTCCGATATCCACTTGAGAATGGCGTTTCGGGGGTTGGATCGGAGGACTGAATCATCCGGAAAGAGGTTGAGGGACCATTTGGCCAGCACCACTACCTCCTCCCCTTCCTCTACTTCCACCATGGATGGGTGGAAATCCTCTGGGGAGGTTTCAACGCCGTGGAAAGAGAAGGGCAGATCTAGCATCCTGGCCACCTGTTCTAGGTACTGCCCTCCCAAATGGACCAATCCTGACCGTTGAGATGCCAGCTTCACTGTGTTGAAATCGACGGCTGTGATCTTCAGCAGGGGAGTGGGAGATGAGGGATATGGCTTCTCCCACGCTGGGGTGCTGGTGCCTGTGTTGGCATCTGCTGCAGCATCTGCTGCAGGGGAGGGAGCTGCAGGGTGGGGTGCTGCTTTGCTGGGTCCAGCAGGCGTGGGACCCCCAAGAGAGGGTGTTGCGGAGGTTGGTGGTGCAAATCTAGTGGTAGCGGGTGGAGAGCCCAAGGGAGTGGTGGACGAAACTGGGGAATGGGTGGAGGAGGGAGCAGCAGCAGCAGCACCCCGAGTCGAGGTGGAGCCAACTGCACTCATCCCATGCCCGCTACCACCACAGGCACCAGCTATGTTCTCACTCTCGCTCCTGCACTGGGTGCTGCTCTCGATCTTCTGGTTGCTGGCTGGACGTGGCACTGCAGCAGATTCAGTGCTGGTCTTGGTGCTGGTTTCAGTGGAGGGTGTGGCACCAGCACCAGCAGCAGCAGCTGCCGTAGCAGGAACGTCAGTAGCAGCAGCACCAGCAGCAGCAGCAGCAGCAGCAGGAACATGGGAAGTGGGCGGGGTGGTGGGGCCAAAGAAGTGGGCGGCAAGGCGCATGAGGATGTTGACCCAGTTGGGCCCGGCATAGAAGCCTAGCGCTATGATGTGCAGTCGCCGCCGCCGCACCGACCTCCTCTTGCTCGCCCCTCCACCTGCTGCCTCCCCTGCTGCTGCGGCTGCTGCTGCTGCTGCTGCTGCTGCTGCTGCTGCTGCTGCTGCTGTAGCTGGTTCTGGTGCTGTTGCTGCTGTACCCAGTTCTGGTGCAGCGGCGTTGCAGAGCGAGGAGGCGGGGTGGGAGGAGGTGTGTGAGGAGGAGAGGGGTCGGTCATTGTGAGGCTCTATGAACGCTCGGGTAATCTCATGCACCTGCGCTGCATAGTTGTACTCCATAAAGGATGGCACGCTGTAAGCACTGTCATGGCCCATCAGCTCCATGATCCCCTGTGAACGAGACAAATGGAAAAAGAGAGAGCCTTAGCACGAAATAAGCACAGCAACAGCAACTTATCAATCTGAGGCGCTGTGTGCATGGGGTATCAATAAGCGCAGGGAGCGCTGAACTGCCAATGACTACCTTGGCTGAGAGCACCGAGTACCTCTGCGGCGAGGAATGATTACCTCTGTGGAGCGCAATGATTACCTCGGCAGAGACAGCACGGGGGGCGTTGAACTGCTGGATGGCGGAGCCGTCTGATCGAGCATTGAGAGCGGCGAGCGCATGGAAGGCGATGCGCTGCAGCGTGTCCCCCTCTGCTGACGCCTCCCTCCGCAGCTTGCGCATGAAGTAGCGCCAGCGCACCTGGTGGGAGAGCAGGGATTCAGATTTTAAATCAGCCAGGGCATGAAAGAGAGACTGGTGAAATGAAAAGCAGCTTGCGCATCAAGTAGCACGAGCGCACCGTGTCGTCGGTGGTGAGAGCCTCAGCCAGGGCGGACAGCTGCGACCACAGCTGTCTCTCCCTCCCCCCGTCCACCATGCCAGGAAGCAGCCCAGAAACATCCAGTTTCAGTGGTCGGCTGGGGATGGAGAGCACAGCTGAAGATGCTTCCATAGTGCTGCTCTTGCTCCTGCTGCTTCGCTGGTCATTTCTGCTGCGTGGGCTGTTGCTGCTCAGATTCTTATCACTGCCGTTTTGCTTTAGCTGCTGCTGTCTCAGCGGCAGCTGCTGCTGCAGCAGCCGCTGGTGAGCCTGCCTGTGCGGGAGAATCTGCAGCATTTTCTGAAGAAGCTTCCTCTCCTGCCTCCTCTCCTCCTCCTGCTGCCGCTCCAGGCTCATCCCCCCTCGCTTGCGCCTCAGCTTCTGCTGCCCTTGCTGCTGCTTCCCTCCATTCATCACACCTGCGGCCATCCACGCCCCCACCTGCTCCTGCCAGTGCTCATACTGCGAGTCTTTTGGGAAGTCCAGGCTTGCATTGGCTCCGAAGAAACCGCATCCGATTATCCCCCCTCCAACCATACTCCCTGCAATGCTTGCGCCCCCTACAGTCACTCTGTCTCCTCCCCCGTCCTCCTGACCCTCCATATAAGCATCTTCGCTCCCCTCTGCCGTGCTCCCAGCTTCTGCCGGATCAGTCACACTGTGCCTGCCTGCTTCCTGACCTGTTGCCGAGCCTACTCCCAAACCTGCTTCCGAACCCATACCAGCTGCACCAGCAGCAGCAGCAGCCGCCGGCACAGGGTCACTTGACAGACGCTCTCGTAAAATGTCTGCCGTTCCTGCTGCTGCCGGTAACGCTGACAGCACATCGCCTGCTGAAGTGGCAGGGCGGTATTGGTTGGCAGGAGGGGAGGTGCTGATGCTCCCAAGGAGGGACTTGAGTCTCGCTGACAGGTCGGGGGCGCGGCGGGCCAGCTTGGCGGAAGGTGCTTTAATCGTCCTTTGTGGAAGGGATGATTCGTGAAGAGGCAGAGCTGCATTGGAGGGCGACTTCTGAGTCACCTGAGAATGCACCCGCACTTGCTTGAAGGGCGAAAACGGTGGGCCGGAGGGATCCGAGTCCCTGCCTCTTACCCCTCCCACCTGGCCTATAGGCAGCGGCTCGGGGGCTGGAAGGGGGTTGACAAGCCTTGCTTGGGCACCGAGCTGGGAGAAAGGCTGGGTGGGTGGTTGGGGGGGTGGCTGTTCTTGCAGCTGCAGCTGTTGCTGCTGCTGCTGCTGCTTCCGGATTTGTTGCTTCAAATGCTGCAGGAGTGGGAGCCGGCCCTCCTGCTGCTGCTGCTGCTGGCTCTGCTGCCGCTTCTCGTCCTCCCTCTGCGCGTCCAGCATCGCCTGCAGCTGCTGCATCACTCTGCCATTGCTCTCACCCACGCCCACCGCACTCAACGTCCTCATTACTGCCCCACCGTTCAAACCAGCCCATGGCGCCACATCCCCATGACACGGCCGTTGCTCTTGATATCCTTGCTGCACCTCTTGCTCGTGCTTCAGCTCCACTTGCTCCTCTTGCTGCTGCTGCTGCTGCTGCTGCTGCTGCTGGTGCTGCTGGTGCTGGTGCTGGTGCTGCTGCTGCTGCTGCTGCTCCTCCATGTCTTGTATCATCTGTAGCAGCAGATTTCCGCCACGGTTATTGCCTGGCCCATTGATGCTTTCCACATTCCGCCTCCGGCTTCCTTCGTCCTCCTCATGTTCCAACGCAGCAGCACAGCGTGCAGCATCCACACCACCAGCACCACCAGCACCACCAGCACCACCAGCACCAGCAGCACCAGCAGCACCACCAGCACGAGCAGCACCAGCAGCACCATCAGCACCAGCACCATCACCGACAGCAGCATCACCGCCAGCAGCATCAGCTGCAACAGCGTCCTTTGAGGCCGGCATAGAGACACAAGCGAACACTCCTTCCTCCCCTTGTGCTCCTCCCCCAGCCCCACTCCCCTCTCCCCCCCATGCCACATCATGCCCCTCCAGCAGCGCAGCAGGCGCCATGGCATCATGCCCCCGTCGCAGCGGAGCAGGCGCCGTGGCTCGGAACAGCTGCTGCGCTGCTGCCTCAAAAGACATCACCCCTGCCTCCGCTGACGTCACTGGTGCCTCTGTCGACCCGTCAGCCCCGTTACATCCCCCCTTCCGCTCACCCCTCCCTGCCCCTAAATCCGCCGCCCCAGAACCGCTCATACCGCTTCCCTCCTTTTCCCGGTGTGGACTGGCAAGGAGGCCTGAGGCTGGGGGAATGGGGCGGGGTGGAATGACTGGCGGAGCAGGCAGCGGAACAGGCAGCGGAGCAGGCGGGGGAACGGGCGGGCCGTGCATGGCGACCCACTCCAGCAGAAGCCTCCCGACTGCAGCATCCGATTCCGCCCCATCCACGTGGCTTGCTACTGTTGCCATGCCTGCCGCTGCTGCTGCTGCGGCTGCTGCTGCTGCTACGGGTGCTGCGGGTGCTGCTGCTGTGGGTGCTGCAGGTGCTGCTGCTGCCTTTCCTGCCGCCTGTCCGTTCGCCTGACCTCCTCTGTCCACCCAGCCTGGTCTACCTGCAAGGTCACTGCTGCCTGCTGCTGCAACGCCAATGGAGCGAGTTGCTTGCGCGGAGTTATGTGGCTCGATGGTACGCGACTGCGGGGTCGGCTTCACGGGGTTCGGTCGCTCCATTCCCAGCATCACGTCGAACGGGTGCATTGCACTGCGGCCGCTGCTCGTGCCGTTGCTACCACCGGTCGCACCACCGGGAGTACCGTTCCAACCACCTGGCATACCACCGTTCGCACCACCGGAAATACCACCGTTCGCACCACGGTTCTGACCAGCGTTACAGCCAAAACCACTGCCATACGCGCCGTTACTACCATTGCGACCACCGTTGCTACCTCTATTGGCGAGACTCGCTGGAGTCTCGACTGCCTGCGCGTTCCTACCTGCTGGCTCTGTTGTGTTTCCACTGCGCTGTTGCAGCAGCACCAGCATCAGCAGCAGCTCCGCATTGCCAGACTCCGCTGCTGAAACCGCGTCAGCGTAAGGCATAACACCGCTACTATCCACCAGCCATCTAGTGTTAGCAGCAGCACCCGCCGTTACAGTATTAGCGGCACTGACGCCAATCTGTGAAGTCCTCAGTGTTGCTTCCATTTCCGGGGTAATTTCCCCCATAAATTCTAGCTGCGACTTTGTTAAAGCCCCCAGGGAACAGGGTCTGGCGCCGTGCGCGAGAGATCCAGCTTCCACCCGCGTTACTGCTTGCTCCGCTCGCGCGGGACCCGCCGCAGCCGCGGCTGCCCACGCAAAAGATTCCGCCACGCTTGCGCCAGACATCGGCGGAAACTCCTTACGCGGTGCCGCGACGACAGGCGCGGAGGCGTGCGCGGAGGCTGCTTGCGGTAATGGTACACCTGCGCAAAGACCTTCCGCGGAGGGGGGGTTCTTTTTCGCGGATTGCGCCATCATCGCAGCCAAAGCGGCGTCGAACTCCAAATCCATTGTGCAGGGCTGTGAGCCGTCCAGATTGTCTTGAGACCAAGTGCAGCCGTCGATTCCAGGAAACGACGGGCCGAATTGGTCGAGCGGCGCTTGCGGAAGGAGCGACGGCTGGAGCAGGTTCATTGGGGTTGCACTGGTAAGCTGGTCGCACGGCGACGCAGTAAGCTGCTGCATTAGCGTCGCACTGAGCTGGTCGCACGGCTGCTGCGATAAGGCGTCGCACAACGCTGCGACGCTAGTGAGGTCGTCCATGGCTTCCCCGCCGCGATAATATTCACTGGAGCGATAACCGCTGCGATTCTTATTCACTGGAGCGATAACCGCTGCGATATTTATTCACTGGAGCGATAACCGCTGCGATGTTTATTCACTGGAGCGATAACCGCTGCGATATTTATTCACTGGAGCGATAACCGCTGCGATGTTTATTCACTGGAGCGATAACCGCTGCGATATTTATTCACTGCAGTGATAAGTATTCACAGCAACGATAAGTAGTCACTGCAACCATAAGTATTCAGTGCATCTAAATTATTAAGTGCAGCGATACGTTTTCACTGCAGAGATAAGTATTCACTGAAGTGATAAGTATAAGTCAAAATCCTTCACTGTAGCTAAAAGTCTCCTGCAACTGTAAGCCTTGGCTGCGCTGGTCGCTCTGGCAATTCGAGTTACTAGCTCCAGAAAGCGAGCGTGAATCACGACCTAGAGCCGTAGAAGAGGGAGAGGACGGCAAGTGTCTGACACCACGGGGTAGGTCAGTAGCTTGGCTATGCGAGGCATTGGAGATTCTTGCAAGCCGGGCATGGATTGAACACGTTCTTGCTTGGGGTGCGCCAATTCTCGCCAGGGTCTCTCTCCCAACCCAACCTAATCAGCCATTGAAAACTCCACTGCTTCCTCCTCCCGCTGCTCCTCCTGCTGCTCCTCCTGGCTGCTGCTGATTCAACTGCTCATCCAAATCAAACCCTACCCTGCTCCCTTGCTTGCTCTGCTCTGGCTCGCTCCTCCTGCCATTGGGGTTGCCGCTTGGGTTGGCGGCGCTTTAGTGTGCTGCTGGCTGGCCTGACCCCCGCCGACAAGAAAACAGGATGGCACGGAACTATGCACAGTGAACGGCTACAAATAGTGTATTCGCGTTGGTATAGTAAGGCCGAAAAACATCGCTTCTGCTGATCATGGAGGGTGTGAGACTATTTTAAGTTTTCTATGAATGTAAGCAATGGAGGGGCCTTATACCTATTCATAATAACTAGGGCATCAATGTAACAAGCTACTCTCGATTTTGCATGTTCCTACTCTCGGCCTCCATGGCTGCCCCATAAAGCTTAGCTGCTACCACAACCCCAGCATTTTCGACCATACTGGCAAACACTGACCCCCCTTCTCCCCTTCTCATGCCGCGTTCATCCAACCCTTGCCGCAACAAATGGGCCGGAGTATCAAACTCTGCAACCCTTCCTCCAGGAGCAAGCACCAACACCCTATCTGCATCAATAACCGTATCAATGCGATGCGCTATAGTCAACACTGTAGCTCGCATGCCATTAACACCGAATTGTTCCCTCACAGTGGCTTGCACGAGAGCATCGGTCTCACCATCAACAGCTGCAGTTGCTTCATCTAGCACCACCACTCGGGATTGGCGCAGCAAGGCACGGGCCAGACACAGCAGCTGCCGCTGACCCACACTGAAATTCTCCCCGTTTTCAGACACCTCCATATCCAGAGTCACTGGACGGAGCCTTGTGGCTGCAGCCGAGGCAGCATCGGGCGGGGATCCATTGAGCAATGCGGACGAGTCATGCTCACCCGCGTTTCCGTCACCTGCACCGTTAGTCCTGCATTCCTCATCTGCTTTCCCGCTGCCCAGAGCAGGAGGGGTTTCTACTGCTCCTGCTGCTGCTGCTGCTGAGGGTGTGGCATGAGAACTGGGAGCGAGATGGGCCCGTCTGAGCGCATCCACCATGTCGGCATCGGAGTAGCGGCCAAATGGGTCCAGGTTCTGCCGCACACAGCCCTGGAAGAGCACAGGGTCCTGGGGGCAGAGGGAGGGGAAGAAAAGGGATTCTAATTTCAATGTGTGGAAAGGAAGCCAAGAAGGGGCAGGAGTGAACGAGAACCAGAGAGTATGCATCCCTGTGGGATGTTGACCCCGAAACTCAGGGGGGATACAATGGCGACATAGGCTCACCCAGAGTAGGCTCACCTGGAGAAGGCCCACCTGGGGTATGATGGAGAGTCGCTGTCTGAGGTCGTCCAGCCCCACGTCTCTGAGATCCAACCCATCGATGCTGACGTGGCCGCGGCTGCGACTGTTCTCCACCAATCGGAAGAGCACGGCTGCCAGGCTGGACTTGCCCGAGCCTGTTCGCCCCAGTATGCCCACCATCTCGCCCCCGTTCACCTGCACAGGGGAGAGAACGGTCAGGAAAGGGGTTTGATAGGAGAGGGGATCGGAGGTGAGAAAGTAGGGGAGGAGGGAGGGGAATGGATGGGAGAAAGGACTAGGCTGTAGCGCTTTCTTCCGTACAACATAAGATACCATGTGCTTGCCATGCCGCCAGCCATGCCAGGCACCCAAAGCCTTACAGTGAAGGTGAGATCATTCAGTGCATACGGTAGGTCCTCCCGATACGCCATGCACACGTGGCGGAACTCTATTCGCCCCTTCTGCGGCCAGTCGGGCGGCAGAGCGCCAGGTGGCGAGAGGTGGTTGGCCTCGGGGGGCAGCTGCATGAAGGCGTGGATTCGCTCCACCGAGGTGAAGTAGTTCTCGCTCTCTGCTGCCTGCCGTATGGCGTACTGGAAGAGACCTGTGAGCTGTAAGCATTGCACCAGAATCACTCCTGCACATGTGTGGGGACGAGGCGGGGAGCGTGTGAGGCGATTCTTTGCTCCACCGTGGTGAAGTAAATCTTGCTCTCCGCTGCCTGCCGTAGGGCGTGCTGGTCAGCTGCAGACATTGGATAAGAACCACACCTGTGAGCGCGACGGAGAGGAAATTGGGGAGGGTAAGGGGGGGTAAAGTGTGGGGAGGGGGGGGGGGGGGGTGGCGCTTCAAATCTCTCTGCCGCCTGCCGTATGGCATACTGGAACAGACCCGTCAGCTGCAGAAACTGCACCAGGATCACACCTTCTCAGCACATGTGTGGGAGAGAGGAGGGGAGGTTGTGAATGAAGGAACTAGCTTGGAAGAGAAAAGATTGAATTGAGTAGGGAGCCAAGAGGCTCTTTTGTACAAAACAAAGAGCAAGGAAGAGTTGGAAGGGAAGCTCTCCTATTGGCCATAAAGTGGACCAATGGGAGAGGTTGCTTGTAGGGCAAGCAACCACAAAGTGTGGTGCTCTCCGATTGGCCACAATGTGGACCAATGAGAGAGATTGCTTGGAAGGCAAGCAACCACATAGTGCGGTGCTTGGTGATTGGTTGGTTCCTAGGACCAAGGATCATTTGGTTGGAATAGTGCCAACCAAATGTCTAGGACCAAATCCAATCTTGACCAACCCAAATGTTGGGTTGGTCAACCCAACCAACAACCCCCCAATAATTATAATGACTACACCTCCTAATCTAGACATGCATGTTGTATAGATATATATTTTACAACACAACCCCCCAACATGCATAAGACTAGATGTCCTGAATCAGGAGGCGGACGAGGGAACAGGGGGAGCGAGGCCAAGAAGGCGAAGGAGGGATGAGTGGGCGGCGTGGGGGAGGGCTTTGGTGAAGATGTCAGCAAGATTGGCAGCAGAGTCAATTTTGCCCAGTTGGAGGTGGCCACCCTGCACGAGCTCGCGAATGAAGTAGTGGCGAAGCTCAATGTGCTTGGAGCGCCCGTGGAACACAGCATCCTTCGTGAGGTGGATGGTGCTGGCGTTGTCGCACCAGATGGTGGGACAGCGCTGAGGGGCACCAAGCTCCTCAAGAAGGAAGGTGAGCCAGCGGGCCTCCTGCGCAGCCATGGTAGCGGCATACAGCTCTGCTTCGCAGAAGGAGAGGGCAATGGAGGAGGAGCGGGTGGAGCGCCAGCTGATGAGGCCGCTGCCAAGAGAGAAGCCATAGCCCTGAGAGGAGCGGCGGTCAGGCCTAGAGTCAGCCCAGGAAGAATCAGAGTAGCCAGTGAGGAGGGGAGGGGAGGGGCCGCCAAGGGTAAGGACGTAGTCCTTGGTCCCCCGAAGGTAGCGGAGGACACGCTTGGCCGCTTGCCAGTGGGCAGCATCATGCTTGCCGGTACCAACGAAGCGGGCCAAAACACTGATGGGGTATGCCAGGTCGGGGCGGGTGGAGACCATGGCATACATGAGAGAGCCGATGAGCTCAGCGTAGGGGTGGGAGGAGGAGGAGGGGGAGGTGAGGGGAGTGAGGTGGTGCCCAACACGAAGAGGGGTGACCTGAGGGGTGCCTCGAGCCATGTCGAACCGCTCCAGGACCTGCTGCAGGTAGCGGCTCTGGGAGAGAGAGATGGTGCGAGCAGCACGGTCGCGGGTAATCTCCATGCCGAGATAGTGCTGCAGCTCCCCTAGATCCTTACACTTGAGCCGGCTGCCAAGCTCACGCTTGACGCGCTCGAGCTCGGCGGAGTCGGCAGTGATGAGGATCATATCGTCGACATAGACGAGGATGTAGAAGGGGGAGGGGGAGGTGCGGAGGAAGAGGCTGGGGTCGGCGCGGGAGGTGCTGAAGCCAAGCTTGGCGAGGGTGGCAGCAAGCTTGGCATGCCACTCCCTTGGTGCCTGCTTGAGCCCATAGACCGGCCGACGCAACTGCCAGACAGAGTCGGAAGGAAAGGGGAGGTGGAAACCTGCAAGACGCTCCATGTAAATGAGCTCGCGCAAGACCCCTTGGAGGAATGCGTTGGAGACGTCCATGGAGTGAATCTCCATGTTGAGGCGAGCGGCGAGGTCGAGGACTGCGCGAATGGTAGCGGGCTTGGCGGTGGGAGAGAAGGTGTCGAAGAAATCGACAGCGTAGCGCTGGGTGAAGCCCTTGGCGACGTAGCGGGCCTTGTAGACCGGCGGCTCGCCAGGAAGCTGCTTCACTCGAAACACCCACTTCCCTTTGACCACGTTCGTGGTAGAGGGAAGGCGGGGCACATCCACAAAGGAGGAGTTGGCAATAAACGTCTCCAACTCCTTGAGGATGGCTGCGAGCCAGAGGTGAGCGTCAGGGCACGCCATGGCCTCCTCGTACGTGGCGGGGACAAAGATGATGGGGGCGGAGGAGAAGGCGAAGACTCGTGTGCCGCTGAGGTCTGGGGAGATGGGTAGGAGGGCAGGATCATGCAGGTGGAGGTTGAGGAACTCCTCATGGGAGTCCTCGAGGAGGGAGGAGTGGAAAATGAATGGGAGGACTGCAGCTGCTGCTGTTGCTGCTGCTGAGGATGCATCTGCTGCTGCTGAGGCGGCTGCTACTGCTGCATTTGCTGCTGCTGCGGGTGAGGGCGAGGAAGGAGCGACGGCTGCTGCTGCTGGTGCTGCTGCTGTGGGTGGAACTGCTGCTGCAGCTGTTGCTGCTGCTGTTGGGACTGTTGTACTGGAGCTCGACGGCAGGGTTGGGCTAGTGTTTTGTTGTAAGACTGTCTGAAAAAGGAGATCCATGAGAGGGGAGAGAGGAGGCAAGGTAGAGGAAGAGAGGATAACAGGAGGCGGAGCACTTAGGACTGCGTCACGCGACCTGGTGTGGGGATACCGGGTGAGGATAGAGCGGGTGGGACGCAGGGGGGGAGGGGGTCGCGGGGGAGAGGGGGGAGGAGGGGAGGGGGGAGGATGGGAGGGAGCGGAGGGGAGGAGTGGGACGGGGAGGCGGGGGGGGAAAAAGGGTCAGGGTCAAATATGTCACTAGAGGAGGGGGGAGCGCTAGGGATCGAGGCGGCGGGGAATGGAGGAGGTGGAGCGGGGGGGAGGATGGGAGGGGGAGGGAGAAGAGGGGGTGGGATAGTGTCGGACCAGTTGAGGGGCTTGGGAGCAGGGGCGAGAGGGTCAGTGGGAGGAGGAGTGGAATAGTAGGGTGTGGACTCATCAAATATTACATCCCGACTGGGGAGGAAACGACCTGAGGGGGGGTGAAGGAAGAGGTAGTCCGGGGAGGAGGGATTATGACCAAGGAAGATGCAGGGGAGGGTACGGGAGGCGAGCTTTCCCATGGTGCGGGGGCGGTCCGCAGGGTGAATGAGGACATACGCCCTGGAGCCCCACACACGGAGGGAGGAGACGTCAGGCTTGGCCGACGTCCAAAGCTCGGTGGGAGTGGTGGAGGGAAGGATAGGGTGGGGGTACAGGTTAGTAAGGAGGGTGACGTGAAGGAGGGCATAGCCCCACAGAGAAGGGGGGCAAGAGGCATGGACGAGGAGACACCGAGCAATCTTGGTGATCTCCCGAACACGGCTCTCGGCCACACCATTCTGCTGGGGGGAGTGGGGGAGGGTGTGAGTCTGGCGAATGCCATGAAGCTCACAGTAGGAGGCTACCTGACGATTAAGGAATTCGCCACCGCCATCAGAGTGAAGGCGGCGCACAGGGCGGCCAAAGTGGGTGCTCGCCTGCTTGAGCCAGGCGATGATCGCAGCCGGAGCGTCACCTTTCGAGCGAAGAAGGGAGACGGACGAATATCGGCTGTGATCATCGACCAGAACAAGCATGTAGCGATGGCCTTGGCGGGAAGGGGAGGGGTTGGGGCCCCAAATCTCCATGTGAACAAGATCAAGCGGCTGAGCAGCAGCGGAGGGGGAACTCCGATGCGGCAGCTGCTTGAGCTTGCTCTGGACACAGACGGAGCAGGGAGGGGCAAGGGAGGGAGGGAGGGGAGGGAGGGTGAGGGGAAAACCTCGAAGGAGACCTGAGGAGACGGTTGAGCAGAGGGTGGCAAAGTTGGGGTGACCAAGCCTGTGGTGGAGGAGGATGGTGGGATGGGAGAGGGATCGACAGGAGCAGGTTGGGTCAGGGGGGAGGGGGGGAATGGTTGGGTTAGAAGGAGGGAGAGGAGGGGGAAGGATGTGAGGTGGGGGGAGGGAGCGGGAGACTGCCTGGGCAGAGGGAAGACGAGGAACTCGAAGGGTATATAGACGGGAGCGAGGACAAAAGGGAATACGAGAGAGGAGGCGACCTGTGGGATGATATAGGAGGCAGTGATTAGTGCGACCTGGGAAGACGGTGGTGATACCGGCCTGCTGCAGGGATCGCTGGGAGAGGAGGTTAGTACGGAGGGAGGGGATGTGTAAACCAGTAACGGTACCTGAGGGGAAGAGGGGAGAGGGGAGGGTAGAGGTGTGGCGACAGGGAATAGAGAAGCTAGAATCGGCACCAAGGAGGGAGGTGGGGGCTGGGAGAGGGTGAAGGGTACCAGCATCACGAAGGACGGACTCGGTGGCTCCACTGTCAAGGACAAAGTCCAGCGTGGTGGAGGGGGGAGGATGTGGGGGAGGAGGTGGGACGGAGTACTGAAAGGCATTCTCATTAATAGCAGCCGAATACATAGAAGGGGCGGGGGTTCCAGCCTGATTAACCATGCCAACAAAACCAGAGGAGGGGAAAGGAGTCACTGCCTGAGGCTGAGGGCGCGGGAGACGCGCCCGAGAGGTGAGCTGCGGAAGCGGCGATGCCGGCGGTCCAAGCGGGGTAGGGCTGCTGGGGGGGAGCCATAGGAGGAGGTGCAAGGGGGAGCTGCGACTGGAGGTCAAGCTGCTGCTGGAGCTGCTGAAGCTGCTGCTGCAACTGGGAGAAGAGGTGCTGCTGCCCCTGCTGCTGCTGCTGCTGGAACTGCTGCTGTTGCTGCTGAAACGGCTGCGGCAGGATCTGCTGCGGAGTCTGCTGCTGCTGCTGTTGCTGAGAGACGGCCTGGTGGGCCAAGGGGGAGGAGACGGGCTGGAAAAGAGGGGAGGTACGAACCTCTTGAGGAGTGGGGCGAGGGGAGAGGGAGGACCAGCGGGGGGGGGTGCCGGTGTTGCCGCGGGCAAACCACTGATCACTGAGTGCTTTGAAGCAAGAATCAGTGGCATGAGTGGTCTGGCCGCAGCGCTGACCCCGCGTGGGGCCATAGCGAGGGAGATACTGACAAGGAGGAAAGGCGGCTGCTGCACCACGTCCTGCGCCATTGCCATCACGACCCGCACCACCACCACGACCAGCGCCACGCCCACCCCCACGCCCTCCCCTAGTGTTGCGCTGCTGAGCAATAGCGGCAGTTGAGGAGGAATGGCGCAAGAGGTCGGCCTCGGTGGTGATAATCCACTGGGCGACTTCAGCCGGGGTGATGCGCTTGTCGATCAGCTACATGTAGGCGATCTTATGGGTGTCGAAGGCAGGAGTCAAGCCTTCAAGGAGATGGCAGCAGAGCACTGGGTCCGGGTACGGCACGCCAAGAGCCGCCAGGCGCCGAGCGAGGTCGATGACGCGACGCGTGAAGGCAACTGCGCCGGTGGTAGAGTCCATGGTGAGGCTCTGGAACTCCTTGATGAGGGAGTAGAGGGTGGCGACGTCCTGCCGATCATAGAGATCGGTGAGGAGGCGCCAGAGGTGGGAGGAGGAGGTGGGAGCAAGCTCGCGCTTGAGGGTGGGAGGAATGGTGGCGAGGAGGATGGTGAGCGCGCGTCGGTCAGCCGCACGCCAGGCAGCAAGGTCGGTGATGTATGCGCGCTCGCGCCTGACGTACTCTGCGAGCGCTGCCTGATACGTGTTGTAGGTGGCAGTGGCGGCGTCATGCTCGGCGCGGGAAGCCTCGAAGAGCAGCTGCTGGCGGACGTGGTCGGTGAGGCCGGCACGGTAGGTGCGGATGGCGGTCTCGGAGCTCTGAGGGTCGTTGACGTCAGGGGCGAAGGTTGGAGGATCGCCGGGGCTGACGTGAGCGTCGCCAGGAGGAGGAGGTGCAGGGCCCGCGGGAGCACCCGGCTGGGCAGGCTGAAGACCGCGCTCCTCAAGATGGACAACGGCTTTCAGGTTGTAGCCGTTGACCGTCACCGAGGAGAGAAACACCGTGACGGTTTGGGCATAGGAATGCCAATTGACCGCGGTGTTGTCAGGCAGCAGCTCAAGAGCGTCGACGGAGGTAAGGTCCACCGAGGAATCGGACGCCATGGAGGAGGAGGAGGGGAAGGAAGGGGGGGGGGGAGGAGGAAAAGGAAAGGAGGAGGGAAAAGAAAGGAGGAGGAAAAGGAAAGGAGGAGGGAGGAGAAGGATAGCTGCGCGACGCGCTCCAAGGAGGATGCGGCGACCGGCTGCATGCCGAAATGGCGCGAAGAACAGGAGCATGCGACCGCGGAATCGACGACGAGCGGGCGCACGCGGCGGAGAAATCGACCGACGGCCGTGCGCGCGCGGCGGCACAACGGGCGCGGAGAGTACGGGCGCGACGGGAGGATTTGTCGACGGGCGTGCGCGGAAGCCGTGACGGACGAGCGTGCGGAAAGCGCGACGGAGAGGGCGCGACGACGGGCTGTGCGACGGAGGAGCGCACCAACGGGCGCAGTAGGAGGATGCGACGGGCTGAAGCGCGTCGCAAGGAGCGACGGGAGGCGCACGACGGAAGGGTGAGCGGGCGCGGCAAAAGGCGCGCGACGGGAGGAAAAGCGGGCGCGACGGAATAGCGCAGCGGGAGAGGGCGCACGGGGGGCGCGGGAAGTAGCCTAAGGAAGGGCTAGGCTTCGAAGACGAGGAGGGACGGCATAGAGCCGTGCTAGTTAGGATCGACTAGAGGTGGTGTGAGCCATTGTGGCTCTGAATACTATGAAGGAACTAGCTTGGAAGAGAAAATATTGAATTGAGTAGGGAGCCAAGAGGCTCTTTTGTACAAAACAAAGAGCAAGGAAGAGTTGGAAGGGAAGCTCTCCTATTGGCCATAAAGTGGACCAATGGGAGAGGTTGCTTGTAGGGCAAGCAACCACAAAGTGTGGTGCTCTCCGATTGGCCACAATGTGGACCAATGAGAGAGATTGCTTGGAAGGCAAGCAACCACATAGTGCGGTGCTTGGTGATTGGTTGGTTCCTAGGACCAAGGACCATTTGGTTGGAATAGTGCCAACCAAATGTCTAGGACCAAATCCAATCTTGACCAACCCAAATGTTGGGTTGGTCAACCCAACCAACAACCCCCCAATAATTATAATGACTACACCTCCTAATCTAGGCATGCATGTTGTATAGATATATATTTTACAACAGTGAAGAGGGGAGAGTATGAGGAGGGGAGGGTGTGAGGCGATTCGCAATGCTCATCTGCTGCCTGCTGGAACAGCCCAGTCATCGGCAGGCACTAGAGTGCTCACTAGACTGCTCCTGTCTCAGTAGAGTGCTCCCGTCTCATTACAGAGCGCCCCATCTCACTGAGGGCATGCTCGTCTCATTAGAGCACGCTCGTCTCATTAGAGCACGCTCGTCTCACTAGTGCACGCCTGTCTCATTAGAGCACGCCCGTCTCACTAGTGCACGCCTGTCTCATTAGAGCACGGCCGTCTCACTAGTGCACGCCTGTCTCATTAGAGCACGCCCGTCTCACTAGTGCACGCCTGTCTCATTAGAGCACGCCCGTCTCACTAGTGCACGCCTGTCTCATTACAGCACGCCCGTCTCACTAGTGCATGCCTGTCTCATTAGAGCACGCCCGTCTCACTAGTGCACGCCTGTCTCATTAGAGCACGCCCGTCTCACTAGTGCACGCCTGTCTCATTAGAGCACGCCCGTCTCACTAGTGCACGCCTGTCTCATTAGAGCACGCCCGTCTCACTAGTGCACGCCTGTCTCATTAGAGCACGCCCGTCTCACTAGTGCACGCCTGTCTCATTAGAGCACGCCCGTCTCACTAGTGCACGCCTGTCTCATTAGAGCACGCCCGTCTCACTAGTGCACGCCTGTCTCATTAGAGCACGCCCGTCTCACTAGTGCACGCCTGTCTCATTAGAGCACGTCCGTCTCACTAGTGCACGCCTGTCTCATTAGAGCACGCCCGTCTCACTAGTGCACGCCTGTCTCATTAGAGCACGCCCGTCTCACTAGTGCACGCCTGTCTCATTAGAGCACGCCCGTCTCACTAGTGCACGCCTGTCTCATTAGAGCACGCCCGTCTCACTAGTGCACGCCTGTCTCATTAGAGCACGCCCGTCTCACTAGTGCACGCCTGTCTCATTAGAGCACGCCCGTCTCACTAGTGCACGCCTGTCTCATTAGAGCACGCCCGTCTCACTAGTGCACGCCTGTCTCATTAGAGCACGTCCGTCTCACTAGTGCACGCCTGTCTCATTAGAGCACGCCCGTCTCACTAGTGCACGCCTGTCTCATTAGAGCACGTCCGTCTCACTAGTGCACGCCTGTCTCATTAGAGCACGCCCGTCTCACTAGTGCACGCCTGTCTCATTAGAGCACGCCCGTCTCACTAGTGCACGCCTGTCTCATTAGAGCACGCCCGTCTCACTAGTGCACGCCTGTCTCATTAGAGCACGCCCGTCTCACTAGTGCACGCCTGTCTCATTAGAGCACGCCCGTCTCACTAGTGCACGCCTGTCTCATTAGAGCACGCCCGTCTCACTAGTGCACGCCTGTCTCATTAGAGCACGCCCGTCTCACTAGTGCACGCCTGTCTCATTAGAGCACGCTAGTTTCACTAAAGTGCTCTCGTCTCACTAGAGCGCTGCCGTCTCACTAGAGTATGTACTACCACAGCGTTGCATGCCGCACCCACTGTGACTGCTGTGCACCTTCCCCTGCCAATGAGCACTCACCTGCATACCCTGCTGGCAGGGAGCCGTGCAGCACGACCACTAGGATGGCAACAAGTGTCACGAGGGCAGAGGCGCAGAGGTCCAGTCGGATCCCGAGCCACCTGCCAGCGTGCACGAACTGAATGTAGGCGCGGTGGTTGGCGTCGATCAGAGCCACGAAGTGCTGCAGAAACGCATGGGCTGCCCCATATGCTCGCACCGACACCACTCCCTGTGCGGTACGAAAGAGAGAGGGGAGGGGGGGCAGAGAAGCACAGGGAAGGCGAAGAGAATGTGCACTCATTGATCCACCTGCCAGCGCGCACGAGCTGAATGTAGGCACGGTGGTTGGCGTTGATCCAAGCAATGGATTGCCGCAGGAACTGGTGGGCCACGGCATATGCGCTTACTGACACTGCTCCCTGCATGGGCGGAGAGTGAGCAGGGGCATAGGGACGGTGGCCCGAGAGGTGGCAGAGTTGCAAGTTAGTGCGAGTTAGAGAACATGGAGTGTGTATTAATGGGGCGCAAGTAACCGTTGGGCTGACTAAGAGGCTTACACCATACTCTCCTGGAACGCACCGGAAATTCACCTGATAACCACCTGACAGCCACCTGACACCCACCTGACAACCACCTGACAACCACCTGACACCCACCTGGAGCGACTGCGAGAAGTGGGCGTAGATGGGCGAGCGCGAGAGGCCGTCTATGCGCTTGAGCTCGCGGGACACGCGCAGGTAGCGCTGCTGCAGCAGGAAGAAGAGCAGCAGCAGCGGGGGCAGCGCCAGCAGAAACCATGGCACCAGCACTGCTGTCACCGCTATGGCGCCCGCACAACCCAGAAAGAGCTCCAGGGTTTGCTGGAGGGGGGACGGGGAGGAGAGGAGAGAAAGGGCAATGTTGGAAGAGCAGCAGCAGCTGCGGCAGCGCCAGCAGGAACCACGAGACCAGCACCGCTGTCACCGCTATGGCCCCCCCCCACCCCAGGAAGAGCTCCAAGGTTTGCTATGGGTGGGGGGCGGGGAGGGGCGGGTGGGTGAGCAAGGAGGAGAGAAGCGCTGTAGGAGATCCGCTTTCAGCATTATCACTGCAGAGCTGAGGAATAGGGATAGAATGCTGACGAGCGGAGAGGGGAGAGGAGAGGCGAGAAGAGCAGAGGGTTGCGTGGAACCTAATTGGTACCTGAACGGTGGTGGGCAGGAGGTCGTCCACCAACGACTGGTCCTTGCTAAAGCGATTCAGAATGCGACCCACTGGGTTCTGAAGGGTAGAAAGTAAAGAATTAGAGAAGGGGGGAGGATGGGGGGTTAGGAGACAGTGGGGAGAGACGAAAAAGAGGAGATGGAAAGGGGGCTGGTGTGGAACAACGAACATTGCATAGTTCGAAGCTGACCTGATCGAAGAAGAGCAGCGGTGAGCGCAGCACGCACACGGCCATGTGGTGGTGCATGTGGCGCGCTGCTGCCAGCGCTGCTTGGGTGAACCAGAAGGCACGCAGCAGCGACAGCAGGATGGCGCCCGCTGTGAACACCGCGTACAGCCCTACGTACATGCCTGGTGGGATGGGGTTGGGGGGTGGGGGGGGAAGAGTTGAGAGAGGGTGAGTGGGAGGCATAGTGTGCAGAATAGGTCTGTGCAAACAGCGACAGCAGGATGGCGCCCGCTTTGAACACCGCATACAGCCCCACGTACATGCCTGGGGCGTGGAGGAGAGGGGAAGCGGGGTGGAGGGATGCATTGAGGCGTTTCAAGGGTGGTGGGGTTGCTTTTGAGTCGACTCAAGGGCAGAAAAAATTTGGGGCGTTTCAAGGGTGGTGGGGTTGATGGAGATAGGGCGGCTTTCAAGTCAACTCAGGACACACGTCAAGAAAGAATGGAAAAAGGCCGGTTGGGAGATGTCTCATACACACCTGAGGCTTCCTGAGACGCACCTGAGAAGCACCTGAAGGCCATCTGAAACCCACCTGGGGAGAGCGAGTACTTGCGGTCGACCCAGACGCCAAGCCAGAAGTCCACGTAGGTGCGCACTGCCTGAGCGCCGATGAAGGCCAGCAGCAGCGCGGCGAAGAGGAGAAAGCTGGGGAGGGTCAATACGGGCGACAAGCAAGCATCGGAGGAAGATGTGGTGGATGAGGTAAGAATTCCTCGTAGGGGCGCACAGTCAGCGACTGTGAAGAGAAGGAAGCTGGAAGCACAGCGACTGTGAAGTTACGATGAAGGCACAGCGAAGAGAAGGAAGCTGGAAAGGTGAGCACGGGCCAAGAGGAAGCAATGCTGGAGGGACGGGGGACGGGGGACGCACACTAAATTCAGGGAAACGTTAGCCATTTCGATGTGCTTGGACTAGACTATGATGAGCAGCAGGAGCAGGGAGCAGGGGGGTGGCGGTGTGTGTTGCGGCGGGGAGAGCTCACCCTCCACCTGCTCTGATGTAAGCACTGTAAGTGGCACGAGTGACCCGCCCCTCCACCCTGTCCTCCTTTATAGTCACTCGCCCCGTGCTGCTCTGCCCCCACTGCGCCCTCTTCGCCATCTGCCCCTCTGTCCACCGCACCGACCGCAACGCCCCATCCTCCCCCCGACACAGGGCACCGTTCTCTGTCGTTGCCGCCTTAAGGCCATGCCCCACTCCATCCTCCCCCGGGCATAAGGCACCATTTCCCCCCTGGGCCACAACACCACCCGTCTCAGTAACCCCCTCCCCCATGGCTCCGTCCTGTCCTTGAGATGTCTCGTCCTCAGTCTGCTTCTGAGGCGCCTCAGGACCATGAGCTACCCCAACCCCCCCCTGCCTCACGGCTCCATTCTGCGCCTCCTGTGCATCCTCCGTCTCCTGCGTCTCCTGCATCTCCTTCACCTCTCCCCTCCTCGTATCCTCTACCAGTGCCTCCGCCCCTTCATGTGCCCCACCCTCTCTGCCCCTGCCAACAGCTTCTGCCTGTGATGGGGCTACAGCATCAAGCCCATCACTCCTACTCTCTGTCGACACCCTCTCATCCTTCCCTGCAATCACCCCGTCCCTCTCCCCTCCAGTCACTCCTTCCCCTTGGATCACCTCCCTTCCAGCCCCAGTCCCTACTGCCTCCTCCTCTCCTTCTCCCTCCTCCCCAACTAGAACCTCCCCCACGCTCTTCCCTTTCCAGCCTCCCAGATTTTCCCCACTCCCCCAAGCCCCCCCCCTCTCGTATCTAGCCGAAGGAACAGCTTCCACAGCAGCAGCAGCCATGGCCTCAATGCTCTGCACCCGCGCCATCGTCCTCCCACTGATGGCCCCGACCTCTGCCAACTCCTCCTCGCTCCCGGCCAATCCCAGCCGTCCGTGCGTCATCAGCAGCACCTGCGAGCACGCGTCCAGCGACCTGCGGTTGTGCGTTACGAGCACGACGGTGCGGTTACCGCGCTGCATGACCCCCCCTTGAAGCACGTTCTCTATGAGGTGCTTGGCTGTGGGCACGTCCACTGCGGCCAGGGGGTCGTCTAGGAGCACCAGGGGGGCGCTGCTGTAGCAGGCTCTGGCGAGGGATATCCGCGCCTTCTGCCCCCCACTCAGGTTGATGCCCCTCTCGCCCTGACCGGAGAGGAGGGATGGATGAGGGGACAGGGAGTGGGAGAGGGGAAGGGAAGCTCTATGCACTTAGTGGGAAGAGCTTCTTAAGTGCATAGAAGGGGGTTGCACAAAAGGATTTCAGGGGACATCCATTATTCTGTACGGTGCGCAAATTGATTGCCACTCACGATTTCTGTCTGGTGCCCGGCAGCCAGGGCAGCGATGTCACGCTCGAGAGCGCAGGCCCGTACCACCTCCTGGTACCTGCCCGCGTCGAATGGCTGCCCGAACAGAATGTTCTCCATGACCGTGGCATTGAGAATCCACGGCTGCTGCGCTGCATATGCCACGTGCCCCCTGCTGCTGACATACATAGCGCCGTCCACATACTGCATCTCCTCGAGAATGGCCTGGAGGAGCGATGACTTGCCGCTGCCCACAGCCCCTGTCACTGCCACCACCGCGCCTCTCTCCACTCGCAGACACACTCGCTGCAGGCAGAAACCTGCTCTGGCAGCAGCAGCAGCAGCAGCAGGCTCTTGTGGATCATTCAGCACCCCTCCCTGATCACCCTCCTTGCCCACTCCTTGCATGCATTCTGGCTGAACGTCCCCAGTAGCCTCGTCCCCATTCGTCTCCTCTTTCCCCGTGTCCTCTACTCTGCTCCCACCCTCCTCCCCACCGGCCCTCCCCCATTTCCGTGCAAGAACCCTCTTCCTCCACAGCCCTCTCGCCCCTTGCCGCTTCTCCCCCCCTGCTGCCTCCTTCTGGTCGCTGGACGGCAGCTTCCAGGAAAACGACACGTCTTGGAGAGCCACAACTATGCCCTCGGGTTCCACCTCTGCTTTCAGCTGCATGTGGCGTGGGATGGGACCATGGGAGGGCGAATGGAAAAGTGGAATCACAGGTGAGAGACGAGGTACACAGAAAGCCTGCACAACCCACAACAGAAGAGACAAAAACAGGCGAATTTCCCAGCCACAACTATGTCCTTGGGCTCCATTTCTGCTTTCAGCAGCATGTGGCGTGGGGAGGGATCATGGGAGGGTGAATGGAAAAGTTGGAGTGAGACATGTGAAACACGTAAGGCCAGCACACCGCACGACAGAAAGCTGGCACACCGCATGACAGAAGAGACAAAAACAGGTGGAACTTCCCAGCTGCCATCCACCCCACGACCACTCACCTCCAGCCTCTTCTCTTCCAGGCAGCCGCCCTGCCCTTCGGGCAGCGCGAGAAACTTTTCAAGCCGGTCAACAGCTACGACGGCCTCGCCAGCGAACTGCAGGCCGGTGGGGGCGATGAAGAAGATTCGGACCATAATGCTGAAGAGCGCCAGCACCGCGAAAGCTGTTTGGGGGGGCAGGTCCCCATGTATCGCGACATAGATGCCAAAGGTGGCCAGGGATGCCAGGGGGGTGACGGAGTCCTGATGGCAGGGGGGGACGAAGGGAAGGGCGCGATGAAGCAGATTCGCACCATGATGCTGAAGAGCGCCAGCACTGCAAAGGCCGTCTGGGGGGGCAGATCTCCGTGTATCGCGACATAAATGCCGAAGGTGGCCGGGGATGCCAGGGGCGTCACTGAGTCGTGGTGGGCAGTGGGGAACTGGATGAGATGAGAAGAGGGGTTGAGAAGAGGGGTTGAGAAGAGGGGTTGAGAAGAGGGGTTGAGAAGAGGGGTTGAGAAGTGGGGTTGAGAAGAGGGGTTGAGAAGAGGGGTTGAGAAGTGGGGTTGAGAAGAGGGGTTGAGAAGTGGGGTTGAGAAGAGGGGTTGAGAAGAGGGGTTGAGAAGTGGGGTTGAGAAGTGGGGTTGAGAAGAGGGGTTGAGAAGAGGGGTTGAGAAGTGGGGTTGAGAAGAGGGGTTGAGAAGAGGGGTTGAGAAGAGGGGTTGAGAAGAGGGGTTGAGAAGTGGGGTTGAGAAGAGGGGTTGAGAAGAGGGGTTGAGAAGAGGGGACAGACGGGTGGGCTGGGCGCAATGGAGACGATGCACACACTGCTGCTGAAGAGGGCCTGCACTGCAAAGGACGTCTGAGGGTGGAGGTCGCCGTGTATCGCCATTGAGATGCCAAAGGTGTGAAGGGAGGCAGAGGGAGGTGCCGGGGTCCTGATGGTGTGGAGATGGGGGGGAGAAGGGCAGCGGGGAGGGGTGGGGAACGATGAAGTGGACAAGTGGAGGAGAAGGGAGTTAGGAAGAATGAGAGAGATAGCATGAGAGGAGAAAGAAAGGCAGCATTTGACCAGCCAAGTAGCCAATCTCCCACCAAACCGACCTTGAGCGTGGAGTTGACGGATCGCACGTACGCCGCCCGGCGCAGCCACTGCAGCTCGTTGTCTCGTAGTGCGCGGATGCGGTCCAGGAAGGCGGCAGTCCAGCCATTGACCTTCACCACGCGCATCCCAGATAGCACCTCCCCCAGCAAGCGCACCCGCGCATCCGTGAACTTGAGCGCCTTGGGCCTCAATGCGGCTACCCTCTTAGCCATCCACACCTGTAGTTTGGTTTGAAGAAAGGGAGAATACCAAATAACCAGATAGCACCTCCCCCAGCAGCCGCACCCGCGCATCCGTGGACTTGAGCGAGTTGGGCCTCAATGCCGTTACCCTCATCACCATCCACACCTGGAGCACGGGGACAGACAGATGGGGAGGGGGTGGAAGGCGGTTTTGAGGCGCCTCAAAACTATATTACCCATATCGCCATCCACACCTGGAGCACGGGGACAGACAGATGGGGAGGAGGGGGAAGGCAGTTTGGGCAGGGCTGGAGTCGATGAATGAGTCACGCGCACCAAGAACGTATTTAAGAGGCGCCTCTTTTTTAGCCTATTTTTTAGGCGCCTCTTTTTGAGCCTATTTTTGAGGCGCCTCTTTTTGAGTATATTTTTTAGGCGCCTCTTTTTGAGTATATTTTTTAGGCGCCTCTTTTTGAGCCTATTTTTGAGCCGCCTAAAAAATACACGCGCACCAAGAACGTAGGACAAAAAAGCAAGCCTTCAGCAGCGAGGCGCTCAAGGAGATACAAGGCTGGAGTGGCGGTCTGGTCTGGGGGGCGTGGCACCATACACAGCATGTACTATGCGTGGCTGGCGGGCGTGGCACCATACATCTCATTGTAGGAAGACGTACTATGAGCGGCTAGGGGGCGTGGCACCATATATGTCATTGCAGCACGTACTATGAGTGGCTGGATGAGGAAGACGACAGCCACGCCCCCCAGAGCTGCCACTCCAGCCTCCACAATGACGAGCGCACAGATGACAGTCAGGTCCAGCACCGCCAGCCACACTGGGGGGGGAGAGGGGGACGAGAAGGGGCGGGGCGTGGGGAGGGGAGCAGCGAAGAGATCGAGATTTGGGAGAACCTTTGTAGCAGGAGCTGCATGAGGTGAGGTAGCGAGCGGCGGCCACGCCTCCATAGTGACGACGAGAGCACAGACGACAGTCAGGTCAAGCACCGCCAGCCACACTGGGGGGGGGGAGAGGGAGGGGGTGGGGTGGGGGGACGTGAGAGAGATCAGCCAGGCCCTAGCGGTGGAGGAATGCCCCCTGGATGGCTCGGCGGAGCCGCTGCCCATGGGGCGACCTTCTGCAAGTGTTAGCACCAGCGCTGGGGAACCCTTAGGGTCCTCTGGGCCGAGCTGTTAGGACTCATCTGTATGCGCATTCCATTGCCATGCCTGTACCTTGCCTCTAACTTATACCCAGGACAAATTGAGGGGCAGGGGGGGAGATATAACCGACAAAAAAGAACCAACACCCAACACCCGACGACTGACGATCGACAACCGACCACCGGCGACCGACGACCGACAACCGACGACCGACACCCGACACCTGACGCCCGACGACGGACGACCGACACCCGACAGTCGACAACCGACAGCCGACAACCGACGACCAACAACCAACGACCGACACCCGACGACCGACGACCGACGACCGACAACGGACACCTGACAGCCGACAACCAACGACAACCAACACCCGACGACTGAAACCCGACACCCGACAACTGATACCCGACACCCGACAACCGATACCCGACACCCGACAACCGATACCCGACACCCGACAACCGACACTGGACGATTGATGACCGACAACTGACATCCGACAACCGACACCCGACAACCGACAACTGACAAGGGAGGCCCTGCTAGTATGCGGCACGGGAGTACAGTAGGCAATTTATTCCGATGTGCATACCGTAGTGGAAGTATGTGATGGCGTACCATAGTGGAAGTATGTGATGGCGTCTAAGAGCTTCTGAGTGTCGTTGGTGATGAGGTTGAGCATGCGACCAGATGTTGCCTCCCCAAGAGCCACCTGCTTCATCCGTAGCGCCTGTCTCCCATCCCAGAACCATCAGAGCAAAGAAGACTGGCTGTTAATCTCCTCGTTATCTCCACTAATGCAGTGATCTGTATTACAAGAATTGTTAAACCACGTTTCTGATATCGTTTTCTATGACGATGCTGCATCTCCCATTGCTACACCACTGTGTAGAGCAACACACCTTGTGGTATACCACCGTGCACACGCAAGCGCGCACACGCATGCCGGCTTTCTGCGAGCGTGTGAAGCAGTGGTGCATACACACGCTCTGCAGCACGGAAGTCAGCGCCATGCCCACCACCAACAGCGCCGCCCTCCACGCTGCTGGCGGCTCTGGCGCCGCCGCCGCTCCCACCAGCTGCTTCAACACGTAAACCTGGATGTTTGGGGGGGTGCGGGGGAGAGGGGGGGGGGGGGGGTGGGAGATATTGGAGTTGACGGACCAGATGCACTACACGCACACTACCTGGACGGAGGGAAGGAGGAGGGGCTCTTGAAGAGCTTGAGGTGTTGCAGACAGATGGCATGCCACCAGAATGCATGCGCACCTGGGTGCAGACGGCGGCGAGCCAAATTGGCTTCCAAATGGCAGCGACGAAGTAGTAGCGGCCGAATGCTCGAACCAGCACCCTCCACACTCGCCCCACCCCCCTCCCCCCGCTCGTCGTCCCCTCCTCCTCACATCCCTGACGCAATCGCATCTTTTCCGCGTCCCGCTTCTCGCGCTCGAGCTCCGTTCGCCACGCCTGATCCCAGCAGTCCACGCTGTGCCGCGTCGACTCCACGGGATTCAAGTCGTACAGGTCGTCTTCCTGTCAGCATTGGATGCAGCGGGCGGGACGACAGGTTGGCATTTATTGGGACGACATGGGGACGTTCAGCAGGACGAAATTCAGCGGGACGACAGGTCAGGATTCAGCGGCACGAAAATGAAAATAAGGCCGAGGAACGGCGTATGCGGCCACAAATCCTAACGGACACAGGCGACGACACGATCTCCGATGATTCCGGACAGCAACTGGACGGCTCCGGGGATCTCAGCACGATCATGAGACCTAAAACCGATCCAATCACGGCAACTAGAGTGAAACAGTCGCAATCCGGGGACTCCAAGCTCGGGAAGACACGGAGACGAACTACCTGGACGACTTTGCGGTAGCCGTAGTGCATGAACGGCGCGATCCAGGACCAGAAGAGAAAGCTCGGCCATGACGCCGAGAGCTCGGGAGAAGGTCCTGCTGTGGGGAACCCCTTTCCATCCCTGCTGAAAAAATCGCGGGCTGCTGACTCGTCGGAGTCGAGATCACCCCCTGACATCGCGAACGGTTTCTTGATCGAAAACTGCGTTTAGACAAATGACTGTTTTCTGCAGGATCAGCGTGCTTAGATGACTACGCACGGAGCCATAGCGCAGCGAACTGTTTCTGACACATCACGCATGTCCTGCCAGTGGACTTGAAAGCCGAAACAGGGGAGTGAAAATGGAGGTAACGCGATGGGAACTCAATCGAATTATGGCATTCTACCACCTAAGTCAGTCGGAACACTGCAGAGCGAGAGGCTCTGTGAAGGTGAAGTGGCATGGATGCTCTGAACTATCATCAGGATGCCTGACTGAAGTCTTGATTCAAGCTTCACCTTGAAGTTGGTGAAACGGCATGAAGAAAAAAGAATGGCTGCTGGGTGAATTTGCGGCTTGGGTGGATCAGAAAGAGGGGTTAATCGAGCCCAAGGCCGATTATCCCAAGGCGCGAAAGGCGGAAACTGCGTGCGAAAGTAGCGACAGGCAGAAAAGATTCGCCTTGCAGCAGAATTTGGCTCCCTTGTCGTTTCGCTAATCGCGACAGATTGGGGCGGCTGCTGCCATTCTCCGACCTGTGCGACTATCGCCACCGATGGTCGCGAAGCGATCATCTGCCAGCCGCAAATTGGCCGCCTGGCGAGAGTATCGTTACACCAGGCTGATCCGACCTGCGACATTCGCGAACCACTTTTCCCGCATACTCGCAAAAACGTAACTCGGGACTCCTACAAGTCATGGAGCAGGGCAGAACTCGTCAGTCTCTGCAAAACAAAATGACGAGTTTTCGTCAATTTCTAACAGTACCTTCGTTCAGTGGTCCGATGAAAGATTCTCGATCCTCGTGAATAGGTGGCAACTATTTTCAATAGGTGGCACATAGATTCCCGATTCTGGTGAACCGTTCAGTGTGACCTGTGCCTGAACTTGGCACTGATGGCCAGCCGTACTTCTTTCGACTACTAAAAAAGAGAGCGTTCGTTTTTAAGAACTCGCCGTGGAGTCTGCTGGACTAGTTTCCTGGACAGTTACGAGGCTTTCAATAGCGTCGATTCAGTTTCCCAGTTGTCGTCAACCGTTCCTCCTAAAGTGACCATTTTCTCTGTCCCCAGCATGTCGTTAACGGCGTGCCTCGAGAGCCATGCGGTAGGCGAGCTCGTACGCGCTAAAGGCATCATGGTCGACGTGCCGCACAGCTCTCCTGGTACGAGCATCTTGTACACCTCCGCCCGTCTTTCCCAGGCAAATCGCAAAACGCTCAATGGCATCGCACAATACCTGCATAAATTTTGAGCATTTCAGCCACTCCCTCCTTCCGCGCCGTACCCTCTTCCCCCAATCTTCAAGCCCTCCGCGCCCCCTGGCCCCCCCTTTCCATCCCCCGCCGCAGTGCGCGACGCCCTGCAGCTGATGCGCATGCACGGCATCTCCGCGCTGCCCGTGTGGGCTCCGCCGAACGAGTGGGTGGGCGCGGGGGGGTCGTCCATCATGGTCACCGACAGCAGCAGCAGCAGCGGCAGCAGCGGCGGGGCATCAGAGGGCATCGAGGCGAGCTCGAGCCCGGGCGCGAGCGCGGGCAAAGCGCGGCGGCAGTACATCGGGATGGTGAGCGTGCTGGACGTGCTGATGCACTTCGCGCAGTCCACCAGCCGCGACGACCCGTCGTGGGCGCTGGACGTGCCCATCTCCATGCTCATCGGCCACTGCCTCGAGGGGCTGTCCTGCTGGACGCTGCCCTTCCACCTCTCGTAAGCGCCTCCTTCTTGCACCTCTTTTTTGGCCCCACTTACCCTACCCCTTTACTCCCCTTTCCGTCCACCCTCCTCGTGTCCGCTCTCTCCCGCTCGTCCTTTCCGCAACTCCCGGCTTCTCTCTCGCACTCTTGCTCTCACCCACCCTCCCTCACTTTCTCCACCACTGCTTTCTCGCCCCCCACATTGCAGGGTGCTGGACTCGCTGGAGCCCATGAGCAAGGGCGTGCACCGCGTGCTGCTGCCGCTGCCCTCCGCCGACCGCCCGCCCTCGGGCCCCATCGTGCCCATCACCACCTCGTCCGCCACTCACGGGGGCTTCTCTCGCGGGCTGCTCACCACTGGCTCTGCGCCCGCCTACACCATCCTCAACCAGGTTCTCGTGCCAACCCCATGGATCATCTAAGAGGGGGGGGGGGGGAGGTGGGGAGTGGTCGAACGCCCTTGTTCGCCATGCCCTTATTCTTGCTTGTGCTCTTATGATGAGGAAGTTTCCGGGTAGACGTGGTGATGATTGTCTTGTCCTGCGTCTGGACTACCCTGTGCCATTCTCTCAGGTTGATTTGATCAAGTTTATGCTTGCCGAAGCTCAGGCAGAGACAGGCGGCCAGCACCATCACCACCACCACAAGGCCACTAGCAGCAGCAGCAGCAGCAGCGCTGGTCAACATGAAGGTGCCGGAGCCAAGTCCCTGGCGGAGTTGCTGCAGCTGTCAGTGAAGGAGGCGGGGGCGGTGCATGGGACGGTGTTTGCGGTGCCGGCCAGCATGAAGGTGCTGGACGCCATCCGCTGCATGCAGCAGGCGTCCGTCGCAGCCGTGGCCGTGCTGGAGCCCACAGCCGACGACAAACTCGATGACCCCATGCTTGTCTTCGTACGTGCCGGTCTTGTCTTCGTACCCACCACCGAACTCATTTTCTTACTACCTGCATTCTGGTTTTGTGCAGTGCAGCTCCTAAGCCCCCCATTCTTGTCAACCCCTTTTTTTACTGCCCCTTACACATGCTGCCCGATTTTTATGCTGCCCCCTTCATCTCCCAACACCCGTGTTTGCACTCCATCTCTTTTGTCCACCTTCTCACCTTCCAACACCTGCTGGCACCTTCTCAATTTCCCATAAACCCCCCCCCCCCCCCCCCTCCCAAATAATGTCTCCAGGGTCAAGGCCGCTGTTTAGTGGGTACATTGTCAGCTAGCGACCTGCGCGCCTGCAGTGAGCTGGCAGCCCTCACAGCGCTCCCCCGCTTGACAGTCGGCGACTTCCTCGCTACACTCTCAGTCGCTCAAGACGTCGGCATCTCCGCCGCTTTCAGCCCTTATGCCCCTCCTCCTGCTCTCGCCACTCTTGCGTCTAATTCTCCAGCGTCCTCCCCTGCGCGCATGTGTGAGGCGAGGTCCATGGTGCCAATCACCTGCCGAGAGCATTCCCGGTTAGGCGCGGTTATGTCCCAGGCAATTGCAGGTCGTGTGCACCGGGTATGGGTGGTTGCAGACGACTCCTCAGGGATTCTTGTGGGGGTGGTGACCTTGTCGGACATTCTGCGGTGCATTAGGGAGCATGCTGAAGGGGAGCGATAGTTTTACGCCGCAGATTTTTTTCCTCAGCATATTGGGGTTGGTAGTGATAAAATATTTTCGGGAGGGATGCAAGATTTATAAATCAATGTAGTTGGGAGTGAAGCAGCTGATGACGAAGCGCTGTAACGCAGGCAGCCACCTACTCACGGAATTCCCTAGAAGTCTCGAGAATCACGTGGTTAGTTTCTGGGCCTCAAACAGCCTGTCCTGTGCATGGCTCGTCTAGCCCAATAGCCAGCTGTGTTGAGGGCATGGCGCGAATCCGCCCAAGGGACTCCACTTGTCGCAGGCTCGCTGGCCCTACGTTTTGGCGGGCCGAGGAAACTTGTCGGTGACAGAGTTGGCTGAGCTGCCTATGACAGGAAATCTCGCATTCTCCCGACGCAGCGCCACGCGGCGAACCAATGAGAGGCAGCGTGTGACCAGTTTCAGTGTGAGTTGACGCGCGGCAGGGCAGTCCAAAATCGGTGCAGGTCCGAAGAGTCGGCGAAGGTCGCTTCTGTTTCTGACGGAAGGTGCGAGACGGATCGAGGGGAAGGTTGGCCATTCGGGTCCGTCAAAGCCAAGCGAAGCGAAATGATTTCGTGGTTAGCGAAGAGTACGAAACGAGATGTCAGGTGCTGTCACGAAGACTGGTGCTGGATGGTGGTTTCCGCCGGCGCTTCCTGTCGACGTCACCTCCACGCTTTCGCCCTTCCCAATCCGCCGCGAAACATTTCTCCTCGGGCAGCATTTTATTGCGTGAAGCGGAAGCGAAGAGTGACCGCGGCTCGGTACTGTGCGAGCATGAATTGGGGCACATGGAAGGGGAGGGGAGCGGACGAATTGGGGCGCGAAGGGAAAACGACGTGTGCGTGAACGGCGAGGGGTGAGCGTGCATGGGGCATTGCGAAAGGGCGAGAAAAAGGAGCTGTGAGGCTTTAGAAGCAAGAGGGCCCAAACGTCACGTGCATTGTGCTGGATCCGACGTCTTCCTCCCACTCCTTCCTACTGCTTCCTGCCGTGCGCCTAGCCCTTCTAGTGTGCTGCTGGATAAAGCTGCAGCTCGAGGGTTTGTGTCTTCATCAGCAGATTCTTGAACATACTCAGTCTATTAGTATACCAGCCTGCCACATTATCTCGCATTGAGCTCCTAGTTTCTTTGAGCATCCACTTCGGAATTAGAAGGATTTTCTCGCATTCTGCTCGTTCTGCAGCCCTAGTTTAGCGCCAATGGCAGAAACAAAAACCTCGAGTAGGTGCCCTAGCTGGGTCCCTGAGCTCCTCAGCGGCCATTACTTCTCTCCGTGCCGCCAGCACGCCGCGGCGCATAAATCCGAGCGCAACTTCTTCTGCATCAAATGCCGCGGCGACCCTCTCTGCACGCTCTGCGTGCAGAAGCACCACGCGGGCCCCGACCACGACATTTTACAGATTCGCCGCTCGTCGTACCACGACGTGGTGCGAGTGGGCGAGCTTGCGCGCCTCTTAGACCTCCACCACATTCAGGTGTACGTGATTAATAGCGCGAAAGTGGTGTTTATCAATCCGCGGCCGCAGTCGCGCGTGGTGAAGGGCGCGCCGTACTTCTGCCGCACGTGCCACCGGACATTGCTCGACGCCAGCCGGTTCTGCTCCATCGGCTGCAAGCTCGCCGCATTGCGCCATGACCCCGCGCTCACATTGCGTCCGCGGAGCGGCTCCGCACCCACGGAACATGCGCGGGCGGCGGGACACACGCATTTCGGGTCCAGCGCCGCGGGTGCTGACCGGCCAGCACGGTCTGGGGACGGGTTTTCTGACGACGACTCGGCCACGTGGTCGGCGGGGCACCGGCGGAAGGAAGGGGGGAACGAGTGGCGGAACGAGTGGCGCAAGCGCGCATTGCCGCCGCTGCTGGTGGAGGATAACGGCGCGGCTAGCTCCGGGGAGAGTGACGAGGGGCGCGCGGAGGAGTACGGGGAGGAGGGGGTGTCCGCGGACTGGCGGAGAGGCAGCGGGGAGCGGGAGAGGAAGCGCGCGCGGTATGACAGGGCGCAGGGCGCGCAGTATCATCTGCAGTATCCGGAGCTCCTAGGCGCGTCATCCCCGGTGTTCTCCCCTTTAACGCCGCCCCTGGCATATCACCATGACGGCAGCAGCGGCTCCCCATGGCGCGCGCACAGGCGGAAGGGCGTTCCGCACCGCTCGCCCATGTCCTAAAGCCCGAGTAGAAGTGCGGGGATTGCGCCAGGTGGATGTGTGGCGTTGGGTGTTTGAAGAGGCCGAGTCGTAACTCCTGAACCTGGAGTGCATTCTTCAACCCATCGCATGATACCCTTGGATACCTTTGAATTGGCTCGTGGTTCCGGTAAATTGGGTTGCGTCAAGAAGAACTCTACAGGGCTTGCCTAGCCTAAGGTCGGAGGGAGTTGCTTTTATGCCGCGCCAGGGCTGCTCCCCCTGTGAGGCTGTACATAGTAGCGCTAGTAGTATAGCTACCGTATGCTGTTCTTTTAGACGTTAGCAGATAGGTAGGCTGTAAGACGCTTGTACATATGTTTCTTTGTTATCTCCCTCAGAAATGAGTTGGTTCAAATGCGTCTTTCCTGTCAGTGATGTGCTTGCCGCACGGCTCGGCACACAGATGTTTGTGTCAAAGTGAGAACGAATAATGACTAGAGATGGAAACCTAGAACAACTACTAGTTGGTTGTACTCACTAGAAGCATACCCCAGTCTAGCCTATAACTTCTATATAGATAATATGTATAAGTTGACACACCCCCTAGGCTAGACAAGGGGTGAAACTAAACAAGAAACAAACAGCTCAGGGCGGCACTACTAGTCCAACCACTGAGGCAGGGGTCTGGAGACCAGTCAGCAAGAATACAACCAAAACTGAAGCAAGCCAGGGTGGCACTACTAGTCCAGCCACTGGAGGTAAGGCCACAAGGCCAGTCTGACAAGCATATATAATAGAGAGTACACAATCAGGATCCTAACAGGGGAGCAGCTACAGGAACAAGACCAAGCTGTACACAGTGCCGCTGATGATCTTTAGGCGCAAGCGCCTTAGTAAAGATATCAACTGTGTTGGCACCTGAGGCCAAGTGAACTACGCAGGCCTGGCGGCGCTGCAGTAGCTCGCGCAGGAGAAAGTACCGCAGCTGGATATGCTTCGCTCTGCCCTCAAGCCGAGGCTCCTGACACAGGAGGATCATGGCCCTGTTGTCAGCGTACAGGACCGGGGCAGAGCTAGGCCGCTCACCTAAGTCTGTGAGCAAGAAGGTCAGCCAGCGGAGCTCCTGTGCCGCCATGGCACCAGCGTAGATCTCAGCCTCACAGCTAGACTGAGCCACAGACGACGAGCGAGTGGATCTCCAAGAGATAGCACCCGAACCAAGGCTGAAACAGTAGCCCTGCGACGACCTGAGCGTCTCAGCGTCGTCTGCCCAAGAAGCGTCTGTGTGCCCAGTAAGGACCACTGGCCTGCGTCCTCCTAGCACTAACCCCATGCCTGATGTACTAGCAAGATAACGCAAAACCCTCTTAGCGGCAGACCAGTGCTGAGGTCGGTGTCTGCCTGTAGCCACAAAGCGAGCCAGGATGCTGAGAGGGTATGCGAGATCTGGGCGCGTGCAAGTCATCAGGTACATGAGGCAACCCACCAGCTCTGCGTAGGGGCCACTGGGCTCTACTGGCTCCTCAGGAACGGGAGCAGAGAGCCCATGGTCTACGGGTAGAGGTGTGGGCTGTGCGGAGGAGAACTGAAGACCGAACCTCTGAAGGACCTGGCGCACCAAGTGTGACTGGGTCAGAGTGATGGTGCGTGCTGCTCTGTCCCTGGAGATCTGCAGGCCAAGATAGCGACGCAGCTCTTCAGCAGGTGTGTCTCTTCAGCAGCTCAGCCTTCACAGAGGCCAGTGCGTCCCTGTCAGGAGTAGCGAAGACCAGGTCGTCTACGTAGACAAGGATGTAGAACGGAGTCTGGCCGGAACGCACAAACAGTGAAGGGTCAGCAGAGGACGGAAAGAACTGCAGGTCTGCTAACGTGGCACGTAGCGTGTCGTGCCACTCGCGGGGAGCCTGACGCAGGCCGTAGACCGGGCGCCTGAGAAGCCACTGGGTCCCAGGAGGGAAGGTACCAGTGAAGCCCTGTGGTCGGCGCAGGTAGACCTGCTCGTGTAGGCTGCCCTGAAGGAAGGCAGTAGAGAAGTCGAGGGAGTGAAGCTCGTAGTCACGCTGTGCTGCTACGTGTAGCAGCGCCCGAAGAGTGGTCATCTTCGGGGTCGGGGCGAAGGTCTGGAAGAAGTCAACCCCCTCGCGCTGACTGAAACCTCTGGCCACGTAGCGCGCCTTGAAGACAGGCGGCTCTCCAGGGGGGCGCTTCACCTTGAAGAGCCACCGACCATCGACTACGTTCACCCCAGGCGGGGGAACTGCGTCGACGTAAGTGCCGGTGGACCTCCAAGATGCCATCTCCTGCTCCATGGCAGCTATCCACTGAGAGGCCCAAGGTCCCGAGGTGGCCTCAGCGTAGGTGCGAGGGGTCGGGATGTCGAAGGCGTCTGGGTCACCCTCAGGGACTAACAGCATGGAGCAGAGATGGGGAGCAGCCTCGGAAAGGAAAGCCAGCTCGTACTGCCTGTCCTCTAGGACGTCACTGCCAAGGGCAGGAGCACCCCCGACGGACAGAGGACGGGCAGGGTCAGAGACCAGAGCGGTAGCGTAGTCAAGGCGGCGGGTAGAAGCGAAGTCAGCGACAGCTGCGACAAGCGCGTCAAGGCGCGAGACAGGAACAGCAAGGTCGGTAACAAGAGAGGGAAGGACCCGAGGGACAAGGGGACGAGGAGCACGGAGGTAGTCAGACAACGGAGGAGGTGCAACAGCAAGGGACGAGGGAGGAGGGGACGGGAGCAGGGGAGGACGAGACGAGCGGGAACGGAGCAACATAGGGTGGGTGGGCAGGACAGAAGAGACGGGACGAGCACGGGGGGGACGGCGAGCCCAAACGTGAGACGGAGGGGTAGGGTTAGGGGACAGCGGAGGAGACACAGGAGGGGAACGAGGAGGAAGACGGGCCGGAGACGAGTCCGGCGGCGGGAACACAGGACCGTAGACAGGGAGGTCAGCAGGCGGTGGGGGAGACACCGGCGCGCGGTCCGGTGAGGGAAGGCCGAGCAGGCGGAGAGCGGAAACCGGCGGCGACGGCTGCTGCGGCGGCGACGACGGCTGGGCCGGAACTCTCGGACCAGTAGAGGCAGAACGACCGTCGGCAGAACACTCAACAGCAGCACCCCCAGAACCAACACCCCCAGAACGAGAACCCCCTCCAACACCAGCGGCACCCCGAGAAGCCGCAGGACGAACACCCTCCTCCACACCAGCACCCCGAGGGGCCAAGAGCGGCGGCGGCAGTGGCGGCAACGGCTGCGGCGGCTGCGACAGCGGCGACGGCTGCGGCAGCGACGGCGACGGTGGCGGCAGCGGGGTCGGCGACTGCGACAGTGGGGGCGGAGGCACCGGGGAAGGGGGACGCGGCAAGGACGGACTGGGGGTACCACCAGAGTCAGCAGACTCCTCAACGGGGACAACCGACGGGAGGGGAGTGACGGGGGAGACACCAGACGGGGCAGGACGAGGCGGGAGAGGGGCAGGGGCTACCGGGGAGAGGGAGCAAGGAACAGGGGGGGGGCAACTGGGAGACCTCGGTGAGGGAAGCAGCGGTAGAAGGAGACGGACTCGTCAAAGGTGACGTCACGAGAGTGGAGGAAGCGGTGAGACGGCGGGTGGTAGAAAAGCCAGTCAGACGAGTCCAGGGGGAAACGGAGGAAGACACAGGGGACAGTGCGGGCAGTGAGCTTGTCCGTGCCAGAGGCACGAACGTGAGCAAGGCAGCCCCAGACGTGGAACGCAGACGCGTCACCCGGGGACCCGGTCCAAAGGAGGGTCGGCGAAACCTGCGGCCGCTGGGAGCGTGGCCACAGGTTAAGCTGGTGAGCAGCGTAGCGAACAGCGAACGGCCACAGAAAATGGGGGGCATCGGCATGGATCATGGAGGTACGGGCGACCTCCATGACCAAGCCGATGCGGCGCTCAGCAACCCCATTCTGCTGTGGCGAGTCCGGCAAGGTGTACGACTGGGTGATGCCCTCCGCACGACAGAACTGTCCAAGCCGACCAGAGGCGAACTCGCCGCCACGGTCGGAGTGGAGACACAACACGGGGAGACCGCGGTGGAGACGCGCAGCCACAACCCACGGGAGAAGAACGTCGGGCACGTCGGCCTTCCGCTCCAGGGGAAACACCGTGGTGTAGCGCGTGTAGTCCTCGACGAGCACAAGGAAGTAGCGCTCACCGCGCGGTCCGGGGACGGGGGCAGGGCCCCAAACGTCCAAGTGCAGGGTCTGAAGGGGGGCAGTAGCAGGACGCAGCGAGGAGGAGTGAGGAGCACGGCGAAGCCGACCCTCGACGCAAGGCGTGCACGGTGGCGCAAACGAGGGAGGAAGGGCAGGGAGCGACGCAGGGAGACCTAAGACAAGACCGTGCTGGGACATGTGACGCAGACGCGGGAGAGCAGGGTGACCTAAGCGGTGGTGCCAGAGAAGGGAGGGGTGAGTGAGGGACCGACACGAGCAAGCTGCAGCGACCTGGGAGGACGCACCAACCGGGGGGGAAGCGGTGTCTAGGGTAAACAGACCGGACACCGGGTCCCGGGGGAACGTCGCAAGGGGGGAACCTGAGACAGCCTCAGAACAGACAGCGAACCGCTCGTGCCCGGGGAACGTGGTGGTGACGCCGAGGTCCTGGAGACAGCCGACACCAACCAGGTTCCTGGAGAACGAGGGAACGTGGAGGCCAGTAAGGGAGCCCGAGGGAACTGCCGGACAGGGAAGGGACGTAGAACTGCGCGCGACGACCGGACCTACAGAGGGGTCAGCGAGAGAGACAACAGCAGGTGCAGCAAGCGGCGTGAGCGTGGAACGGTCGCGGAAGCAGCAGGCAGAAGCACCGGAGTCGAGAGTGAAGGACAGCGACGCAGTGGTGGAGGCCGGGGACGGAGCCGGTGTAGCGACTAGACTAGGCAACCTAAGCAGTCCTACGCCTGACGCAGCAGGGGAGGCTAAGCTACACAGTGGTGCAACACCTAAACTAGAGTACACAGGGTAATAAGATCCAGCAAAACTAGAAGTGTCAGAATACAAAGCATGCAAAGATGCACCTAGCTGATCCATGTCTAACTCAAAGATCGGCACGCCCTGGCGGAGCAGGCTGTGCCAGTCGGGGAGGTCCGGGGCCGGGCCAAAGCGACGACGAAAGAGATCGTCGAGGCGGCGGAAACAGCGGGCGGTCGGGTGCGGGCGGCGGCACAGAGTGCCGCGAAGAGGCCCGGTCTGAAGCTGGTACTGGCAGGTGACAGCACCGGAGCCGCCGGTAGACGCCAAGCTGCCCGGGCCGCCACCACGGCCACTACCTCCGGAGGTGCCGGGCCAACCAGGCGGGAGACGGGCCCACTGCTGCGGCGACTGCTGCTGGGACGGTAACTGCTGCTGGGGCGGCGGCTGCGGCTGGGGCTGCTCCTGCTGCGGCTGGGGCTGCTGCTCCTGCCCACCAGTGGTAGTCCCCGCAGGCGGACTACCGTCACCACCACTACTGCCACCACCACCCCTACCCCCCTGGCGACCACGGCCACCGCGGCGCGAGCGCTGCTGCGGGTGGACCGCACCAGCCGACTCGGTGAGAGGGCCGCCGAGGCGACCGCAGCCGAAACGTCAGTGAACGCACACTGAGAGGGGGCACAACCGTGAAAGATAGAAACTGCCGGCGCACCGCTCGACTGAGCGATAGTGCGCTGGCGAGTCTCGATCTCGGTGAGGGTGTCGACAAAGGCAGTGAGAGTGAGGTCACGCGGGTGCTGGCTAAGAAAGTGATCGCGAGCACTAGCGAGGCGGTCTGGCAGGCGCATGGCGATAAAATAGAGCGTCATGCAGAAAGGGGGGGGGGCGCAGTGAGCTGGGCGGCAGTGCTGGCAGTGCGATAGCGGGTCTCTAGGGCACGCAGGTGAGTGGCAAAGTCTGCGACGGTAGGGAAAGCTGCAAGGTCTGGGAAAAGCATAGGGAAGAGCAGGCGACCAGCAAAAGCAGACGCGGGTGTGGAATAGCGGGCAATAACAGCGTCTAAGTAAGCTTTGGCCGTCTCAATAGTAGCAAAACGCGAGCGCTCAGAGACAGGGAGGGCGTGGCTAATGGCAACCTGAGCGACTGCATCGCGGGAGTCCCAGACCGCACGGGCAAGCGCAGCAGTAGAGAAGGTCTCACGGTCATCAGAGGAGGGATCAGCAGGGAGGGGAGCAGGTGCGGGGGGACGGGGGAGCAAGCCGTCGACATGGACAACCAAAGAGTGGCCATCCTGGCGCTGACCTGTAAGGTGGCGGCGGAGATCGGAGAGCCAGGCGGCGAAGTCAACTGCATGGCCCTCGGCGTCCAGTCGGAGCACGAAGTCCGCCATCGTGCAGGGTCAGCGGCACAGCTCAACAGGAACACAGCGACAGCCCCCTCCAGCACGGCGGCCGCGAAGCGCCTCAGCACGAGCGAGCAGCGGAGACGGAGCCCGAGGCGGCACGGCAGGACCAGCCGGGGCGAAGGGGCCAGGCAGGTGCGGTGGGACCAGGCAGGTGCTGGCGGGGTCAGGAAGGCACGGCGGGGCCAGGCAGGCGCGGCGGGGCCAGGGAGGCGCGGCGGGGCCAGGGAGGCGCGGCGGGGCCAGGGAGGTGCGGCGGGGGCCAGGCAGGCGCGGCAGGGCCAGGCAGGTGCGGCGGGGCCAGGCAGGCGCGACGGGGCCAGGCAGGCGCGACGGGGCCAGGCAGGTCGCGACGGGGCCAGGCAGGCGCGGCGGGGCCAGGCAGGCGCGGCAGGGCCAGGGAGGCGCGGCGGGGCCAGGCAGGCGTGACGGGGCCAGGCAGGGCGCGACGGGGCTAGGCAGGGCGCGACGGGGCCAGGCGGGCGCGACGGAGCCAGGCAGGGCGCGACGGGGCCGAGCGGGCCCGACGGGGCCAGGCAGGGCGCGACGGGGCTAGGCAGGGCGCGACGGGGCCAGGCGGGCGCGACGGAGCCAGGCAGGGCGCGACGGGGCCGAGCGGGCGCGACGGGGTCAGTCAGGGCGCGACGGGGCCAGGCAGGGCGCGACGGGGCCAGGCAGGGCGTGACGGGGCCAGGCTGGCGCGACGGAGCCAGGCAGGGCGCGACGGAGCCAGGCAGGGCGCGACGAGGCCAGGCAGGGCGCGACGGGGCTAGGGTGGCGCGACGGGGCTAGGGTGGCGCGACGGGGCCCAGGAGGGGCGCGACGGGGCTAGGGTGGCGCGACGGGGCTAGGGTGGCGCGACGTGGCCCAGGAGGGGGGGGGGGCGACGTGGCTAGGAGGCGCGACGGGGCTAGGAGGCGCGACGTGGCCTAGCTAGGGTACGGGCGGAAGCGGTAGGTGGGGGATGCTAACCTACGCGTGATACCGTGTCAAAGTGAGAACGAATAATGACTAGAGGTGGAAACCTAGAACAACTACTAGTTGGTTGTACTCACTAGAAGCATACCTCAGTCTAGCCTATAACTTCTACATAGATAATATGTATAAGTTGACAGTTTGAGCTTGGTGTGCTTGGTGGGAAGGGAGGGGAAGGATAGAAGGCATGTACCAGGATGTGGAGTGGAGTCTCTAAGTGCCTGACTTCCACCAAGCCTGCCTGCATTGAGACGCACCGGTCAGCAGTGTTTGAATTGAAGCTCCAGGTTGGAACTAGGGTGCACTGCACACAGGGCAGAAGATTGCCAAGTAGTGCACGTAGGATTTCCTGCAGGTAGTTCTTTCTGTTCTGGGCTCAGCTGACTATGGCGTGGCATCACACTCGCATGGTGATACCACTTGGCCACACCACACCCACCCTCATCGCTGGTGACATACTGGTATTCCCTTCTGCTGGTGACGGACTGCCGATATAATGGTTGGCAAACTAGGCCATCAAAACATTATGCTACTCACACTTTCCTACAACTGAATCCCAAAACCATCATCATGTGGAGTGTTCTGTCCTAGCAGCATTTTCCTTCAGCTGTTGATGCTGCTGACTCGCCAGAATCTCTGCAATCTCTTCACCCACTCCCCCATTCCCCTGACCCAGCCCCCCATCCCTCTCCCCTCCCCCCCCTGGCATTCCCTGCAACTTGAGTGCATTCGCCCTCAGTATCGCCAGGTAAGCCTCCTCCCTGACACGTGGCAGCGTCTCATTGGCCAGCGCCATCTCCTCCCCGCCATCGGCTGCCGCCCGGATGAAGGGCTCCAGGGCTTTAAGCACCAGCAGCTGCACATCCTCGTCCAACAAATCAGAGGGCGACATCTGGCGCAGGGCATCGCAAGCAGCATTCTCGTCCTCCGCTGTTATGGCAGTTCGGAACAGGCTGGAAGGGAGTGTGTGGATGGGGGGCAGGTAGGGGGCAGGTAGGGGGCAGGTAGGGGGCAGGTGGGGGGCAGGTAGGGGGCAGGGAGGGAAGGTCTTGGTTTCTGCAAGATCGAACGGGCCGGGACCTGCGAATGTGAATGTGTTACAATCCGAGTTATCCATGCCATGTTACATCACGGGGTCAACGAGCAACAGAGCACGCAGCTCATCGGAAAAGTGAAGATGATCGGGGGGGGGAAGGTTGTTGAAATGCCTGTAGTCCATGACATGCCGGGCACGGGGGAGGTCGGATGCTACAATGCACGTGGCTCACCGAAACAACATGAAGATGGCGAGGTCAGGCTATTGTGACCCAAGAGGTGATTTTTGAGTCGACTCAAAAATCACCTGCGAGGGCAGGCTGTTGCGACCCAAGACTTACCGGAAGAGCGTGAAGATTGTGGGGGGCAGGTCGTTGCGGTGCATGTCGTCCATCACGTGCTGGGCGCGCGGGAGGTCGCCCATGGCTGCACATGAGTCCAGGAGGGCCTCCAGCACCATGCGCGACGGCTGCACTCCCACCTGTGCGTGGGGGGTGAGAAGACAATAGAAAGGGCAATTCAAAGAGCAAGAGTGAGCGAGAAAAGGGTAGTGAGTCTGCTGCACACGAGTCCAGCAGCGCCTCTACATGCACGCCCTGCACAATGCAGCAAAGAAACAAAGGAGATTGTACAGCCCACTCACTGTGCACGTGATGCCCACTTATCCGCATTTAAAGCACCACTTGCGGTTGCGGGGAGGAAGGAATGGTGATCCACTCACGGTGCGCAGGGCTTGGAACATGCGGAGCGTCTCCCTGACTCCGATCAAGCACACACCATTCCCATCGGGTAGACCGCGGGCCACCGGCAGCAGCACCTGCAGGGGACGAGGGAGGGATGAGGGCAGGAGGGAGTGGGGGAGATAGTCCCGGGGGTTTACGAGAAGCCGATGAAAGGTGGACAGAAAGGTTGCACAGAAAGGTTGCACAGAAAGGTTGCACAACGGAGGAAGAACATCCCCTAGAGCAGCCGTAATGGCACCAGTAAGAGACCCCACGTGCAGGCGCACCTTGGAGCCCCCACCTGGTCGAAGATCTGCTGCCGGTTGAGGTGTGGGTCGTCCTTGATCGCCTCTGCCACCTCCAATATGCGACTGCACGTGGGGCAGGGGGCAGAGGCATGGGGATGCATGTCACTGTGAACAAGCATGGATGGGCTTGGATGGGCTTTGGATGGGCTTTGGACGGGCTTTGGGTGGGCTTTGGATGGGTTGGGATGGGCTTTGGATGGGTTTGGATGGGATTTGGATGGGCTTTGGATGGGCTTTGGATAAGCTTTGGATGGGCTTGGATGGGTTTTGGATGGGCTTCGGATAGGTTTGGATGGGTTTGGATGGGTTTGGATGGGCTTGGATGGGCTTGGATGGACATGTGAGGGCGTTCTGACGGCATGTGACCGACTCGCCCTCCTTGAGCTGCGCCAGGCACGACAGCGTCTGCACCACCAGGGCATGTGATGGATGCATGGCAATCTGGCTACTGCGGGGAACTTTTGAGTCGACTCAAAAGTCGCATGTGAGGGATGCATGGCAATGTGGCTAGTTGCAGCAGGGACAAGAGAGTGTGCTCAATGTAGATGTGTTGCGTGAGTGAGACGTACTCGACATCGTTCATCTGAGCCAGGCACGCCAGAGTCTGCACCACCAGCGCATGCCCGCTCCGCATCTCCTGCTGCCACGTCACACCCTCCCACTGCCGCCCCCCTTCCCCCCCTTCCCTCCCCTTCCCCCCCCTCCGCGCCTCCCCAAACAGCTCCATCATCTCCCCCACCTTGCCCTCCCGCCCCAGCGCCATGATCAGCGTCCCCACAGCGTACGGCAGAGGCATCACCCCCTGCTCCCGCCCCTTCTGGTATGCGTCCAGGGCGGCTTGGGTTCGGCCTGCTGCTGCCAGGGCTTCGACCAGCGCACTCACTGCATTGGCGCCCACCTTGTGCCCCGCCGCCTCCGCTGCTGCCAGGTACTGGTGTTGGCGGGAGAAGGGGGGGAGGTGGGGAGTCACGAAAGGCTGGTTGGAGCAGCCATGACAGCATGCAGGTAGTCCGCTGGGCTGGGTGCACCGTGCACCCAACTGAGGAGTCTATTTGGATGGGCTTGGATGCACCCAAAAGCAGTCGCTGGGCTGGGTACACCCAACTGAGCCCACCCATGCTATCGTACAGCCCCATGACAACATGCCCCTCCCACATGCACCTGCATGGCGCCATTGACGTCCCCTGTCTTGTGGTGCAATTGAACCATGGCAGTGTGCCATGGCAGTGTGCCCACGTTGTCGTTGGGCGGCACCCCTTTGCTGCCCCATCATCTCGTGTACACGCATGCCTGGCCCTCTGTCGAGACCTATGCAATCCTCCCCTCTCCCAACCGTACCTGCATGGCGCCATTAACATCGCCTGTCTTGTGGTGCAGTTCCACCATAGCGGCATGCAGGTAGTCGTTGGGTGGCACCCCGTGCTGCCCCATCATCTCGTGCACCCGCAAGCCCAGCCCTCTGTTGCGCGCCATGGCGCAGCCGTGCACGAGCTGGGTGAACACCACCACGTTGGGCTGGATGCCATCAGCCATCATTTCTCGAAGCACTCTTATGGCTGCCGATAGCTTACCCTGGCTGGGGGAAAGGGAGGGCAGGAGGGGGTTGATGTAAGGCGGAGTGGTGAGGGGTGAGGGGTGAGGGTCGCTGGCCACGGCGCAGCCGTGCACGAGCTGGGTGAACACCACCACGTTGGGCTGGATGCCGTCCGCCATCATCTCCCGAAGGACGCGGATGGCTGCTGATAGCTTGCCCTGGCTGGGGCAAAGGGAGGGGAAGGTGTGGTGTGTGCGTGGAGGGGTGAGGGGTGAGGGGTGAGGGGTGAGGGTTCCTTCCAACGGCGCACCCCTGCCAAGCTGGGTGAACACCACCACATCGGGATGAATTCCGTCAGCCATCATCTCCTGAAGCACTCTTATTGCTGCCGATAGCTTACCCTGGGCTGGGGGAGTGGTGGGGGGATGGCGGGGGGAGAGGGGGAGGAAGGGGGAAGCGGAGGGAGAGAGACGGGGGAGGACGTGGGGAAGACATGGGTGCCAGGCAGGGACCCTCATGCCCAGCCCTCGGATCCTGGCCACGGCGCACCCGTGGGTTCCTTGTCACAGTGCACCCGTGGGTTCCTTGTCACAGTGCACCCGTGCACGAGCTGGCTGAATGTTGTCAGCCATCATTTCTCGTAGCACGCGGATGGCTCGTGGAAGCTTGCCCTGGCGGGGGCAGGGAGGGGAGGAGTGGGTGGATGTAGGGAGGAGGAGGCGGGAGGAGGAGGCGGGAGGAGGAGGCGGGAGGAACGACTAGAGCGAAGCACACAGTGAAGGAATTAGCTTTGAGGAGAAAGGAATAAATTGAGTAGGGAGCCAAGAGGCTTTATTGTACAAACAAGGAGCAAGGAGGAGTTGCAATGGAAGCTCTCCTATTGCCCATAAAGTGGACCAATGGGAGAGGTTGCTTGGAGAGCAAGCAACCACAAAGTGTGGTGCTCTCCGATTGGTCACAATGTGGACCAATGGGAGAGGTTGCTTGGAAGGTAAGCAACCACAAAATGTGGTGCTTGGTGATTGGTTGGTTCCTAGACCATTTGGTTGGAATAGTGTCAACCAAATGTCTAGGACCAAATCCAATCTTGACCAACCCAAATGCGGGGTTGGTCAACTCAACCAACAACCCCCCAATAAATATAATGACTACACCTCCTAATCTAGACATGCATGTTGTATAGATATCATGAAAGCTGGTTGGCCAAGCCACTCAGGTTGCACAGACCATGCAACCTATAGATATGTATTTTACAACACACAGGTTGCACAGACCATGCAACCTATAGATATGTATTTTACAACACACAGGTTGCACAGACCATGCAAGCTGGTTGGCCAAGCCACTCAGAGAGCCGAGAATCGACAGCAGCGGGTGATTGCTAGCTCGCAGAACCAGCCTGCTTGCAAGATGCATGCATGATGAGTGTGTAGTGTAGTGTGGGGATGTAGCCACTACTGCTAAGCTGGAAGTACGTACATGCAGCCGCCCGGCCCAACACGTGCCTGCTTGCAGAAGGCGTGGATGATGGGAGTGTAGATGTAGCTGTTGCGCTGCACGCCGTTGGCCCGCATCTCAGCCACCACCTCAAGAGCCATGGGCATCTGCAGTGGTGGTAGGGAGGGATGGGATGGGAGAGGCCCAGGTGAGAGAGAACGGGGGGAAAAAGACACGGGTGGGCTACTAATGGGTGGGGAGATGGTTGAGAGGGATGCAGTGGTTGCTTGCGCCCTTGGCCCTCTCCTCAGTCACGACCACAGCAGCGGGTCGAGCAGCAGCGGGCGATGTGCCAGCCAGTAACCCAAGATACACGCTCCCATTCAGCCACAGGGCGACTTACATTGTCCACCTCCAGGCACGCCTCAATCAAGCTGCTGAAAGATGCCACGGTGAGCCCGGCCCCCATCTTTCGCATCACGTCTGCCAGTGCCAGCGCCTCCTTGAAGAGCTTGGAGCGTGCGAGCTGGCGAAGAAGCGGGTCGAAGATGCGCGGCGTGAGGGTGAAGCCGAGTTGCTGCATCTCCTCCAACACGTCCATCGCTTTGTCCAGCTGCTCAAGGGGGCGGGGGGATGGAGAAAGGGGAGCAGCGGACCGAGAGCGCGCAGGGTGAGGGTGATATGAACCAGTATACTCATCCACGCCGCCATGCATGCAACAGCTCAATTTCAGCTGCTCCATGCATGCAGAACTTGAGCAGCTCGAGGAGTCTATTTTTGAGGCGCCTCAAAAATAGACTCCTTCTGCATGTAGAACTTGAGCAGCTCACTTCTACATTTTAATATGCTCCTCCAACACATCCATGGCACTGTGGGACTGCTCACGGGGGAAAAGGGGGGTGGGGGGGGGGCTGAGAGACAGGAAGAGAGGCAGGAGGGGGAAGAGGAGAGTGGAGAAGAGCTCTGTGATCTGCAGAAGGTTTTTTAGGCGCCTCAAAAGGCTGTGATGTGCAGAGGACGCCCAAAATTTCTGTGATGTGCAGAGGGGAGCAGACACAGGGAGGAGGAACGAACAGCAGAACCCACCTGGCCAGTCACACACCGCACGGAGATGAAGCGAGACGAGATACCCTCTCCGCATCTCGCACCATCCCTCCCTCAAGTGCGATCGTACTGTCTCCATGTGAAGCCCAGCTAGAAGGCCACTGCTGGCTACTCTATCACACAACACATTCCCCCACGCTCACCTGGCCGTTGACACACAGCACCGAGATGAAGATGGAAGAAATTCCCTCGTGAGGGTGCAGCCCTGTGCTCTGCACGGCCTCCCTCACCACCCCCCACGAGCGCTCGAACTCGCCCTGCGGCGCCCACTGCCGGCCCTGCCGCTCTATCACCGGCCGAAAGCCCTTCCAGAAATTCAGCCCTATGAACTGCCGGCGCGTGAGCTGCGTGCCGTCAGGCAGAAAGAACGGGGCTGGGGGAAATGGGGGAGGAGGGGGGGGAGGAGGGAGGAGGGGCACTGAGTTACATCCAGAAGCCCTTCCAGAAATTCAGCCCTATGAAATGAACTGCCGGCGCGTGAGCTGCGTGCCGTCAGGCAGAAAGAACGGGGCTGGGGGAAATGGGGGAGGAGAGGGGGGAGGAGGGAGGAGGGGCACTGAGTTACATCCAGAAGCCCTTCCAGAAATTCAGCCCTATGAACTGCCGGCGCGTGAGCTGCGTGCCGTCAGGCAGAAAGAACGGGGCTGGGGGAAATGGGGGAGGAGAGGGGGGAGGAGGGAGGAGGGGCACTGAGTTACATCCAGAAGCCCTTCCAGAAATTCAGCCCTATGAACTGCCGGCGCGTGAGCTGCGTGCCGTCAGGCAGAAAGAACGGGGCTGGGGGAAATGGGGGAGGAGAGGGGGGAGGAGGGAGGAGGGGCACTGAGTTACATCCAGAAGCCCTTCCAGAAATTCAGCCCTATGAACTGCCGGCGCGTGAGCTGCGTGCCGTCAGGCAGAAAGAACGGGGCTGGGGGAAATGGGGGAGGAGAGGGGGGAGGAGGGAGGAGGGGCACTGAGTTACATCCAGAAGCCCTTCCAGAAATTCAGCCCTATGAACTGCCGGCGCGTGAGCTGCGTGCCGTCAGGCAGAAAGAACGGGGCTGGGGGAAATGGGGGAGGAGAGGGGGGAGGAGGGAGGAGGGGCACTGAGTTACATCCAGAAGCCCTTCCAGAAATTCAGCCCTATGAACTGCCGGCGCGTGAGCTGCGTGCCGTCAGGGAGAGAGAACGGGGCTGGGGGAAATGGGGGAGGAGAGGGGGGAGGAGGGAGGAGGGGCACTGAGTTACATCCAGAAGCCCTTCCAGAAATTCAGCCCTATGAACTGCCGGCGCGTGAGCTGCGTGCCGTCAGGCAGAAAGAACGGGGCTGGGGGAAATGGGGGAGGAGAGGGGGGAGGAGGGAGGAGGGGCACTGAGTTACATCCAGAAGCCCTTCCAGAAATTCAGCCCTATGAACTGCCGGCGCGTGAGCTGCGTGCCGTCAGGGAGAGAGAACGGGGCTGAAGTACGGGGGGGACGGGAGGGGGGGAGAGAGGGGAAGTGAGGACGCAGATAGGTGGGCAAAGAGTTATTGCAACGGGTGCTCGTGAGCTTCAAGCTTCGCATGGAGCCCATTCATCGATTCAAGACTATGAACTGCCACCGGGCAAGCTGCCTGCCGTCAGTCACTCCCCGTGTGCCAGTTGAGCCCGTTGAGCACCCTTCAGCGGGCGCGCATGGAGCACCCGTCAGTCACTCCCCCTGTGCCAGCCCAGTGCTCTCATCGGTGCCACCTCCACCATCCCCTTGAGCACATCCGGGCGTACTGCCTGCCCGGCCGTAGCAAGGGCGGTGCTCCAGAGGGAGTAGGAGGTGAGGGTAACCCACTCAGTGCCGCTCACCACCACTCACCATCCGCGAGCCCAGTGGCTTCAGCCGCCTCCACCATCCCTTTGAACACATCTGCGCGGCCCGCCTGGCCGGCAGCAGCCAGGGTGGTGCTCCAGAGGGCAATGCGCTCCCACCCCTGCGAGTGGAAATACGATGCCAGCGCGTGCGGAAGCAGCAGCAGCATGTCGTCCCACTGCCGCGCCAAGGCGAGCTTGTGCACCGCGGAGTCTGAAAAGGAAGGGGGGAAGGGGGGGTTGGCATGTCAGGTGGCGGGGGCGTGTGGCAGCAGCAGCAGCAGCAGCAGCAGCAGCAGCAGCAGCAGCAGCAGCAGCAGCACTGGCATAGGAAAACAGGATGAATGGAGTGCTGGAGTTATACGGCATCAGGAGCACTCGGTCTTACATTGGTGAAGACTGAAATGACAGAGGGGGCAGTGGAGAAGCGGTGGAAACCCGGGCTCAAACCAGAAACAGAAAACGAAGAGAACGGTACTGACCCAGATTGGTTGAGAGCACGGAAAAGAAAGGTCCGTCGGATGAGATGGGTGGCTCTGACTGGATGAGTCTATTTATTAGGCGCCTCAAAAATAGACTCCTCACAGATGGGTGGCTCTGATTGGCTGGATGACTTTCGAGTCGACTGAAACAGCACTGACCCGGATTGGTTGAGAGCATGGAGAGCAGGTGTGCGTCGGATGAGACGGGTGGCTTTGACTGGCCGAATTGCCGCAGGCGATCCAGGAGGGCGGGGAAGCGGGGAGCCAGGGAGACCCCGTCCTCTGCCATCCATACCCTCACCTGATGGGCATGTGTGGGTGTAGCGGGTTGGGAGGAGGGAGGTAAGTGGCAGGGCAGTTGACCAGCAGAGAGGGGAAGAGGCCAAGGGGGGAGGGAGGGTGGGGGGGGGGAGTGGTGTATGAGTGATGGACACACGAGTGATGCAAGGGGGGTGCTTGAGCGGCCTCAAAGCGCTTCTGAGATTGAGGGACCTGGGTTCAGCCAGCCATGCGAGAGAGTTGATGGGGTGAGAGATGCTGCCCCTTCCCCTCCCCACCATGTCTCCTCTTTGCTATGTCTCCATGCACTTACCCACCCACCATGCCATTTTCAACATCCATGCACCACGCCCACGTTTCTCTCCCCATCGACCCATCGATTTACCACTCACCTGCTCTATCTCATCACCCCACCCCCTCAGCGCCAGAGCCATCAGCACAAAGTGGTACGGCCGATCCATTGCCCCTCCAAACTTCCGGGCCTCGGCCCGAGCCTCGGAACGAGCCTCGATCCGAGCCTCGGCGAGAATCTCCATGGCTGCCTTCTCCCACAGCCCCCGCTCCCGAACCTCCTCCCACGCGCTCGAGCCAATGCCGAACCTCTCCTCGAACCTAATCAGCGCAGATAGCACCGGGAAACGGGCTTCCATGCCAAGTAGAGAGGCCTGGGATGATCCCGGGTGTGGGGATGCGTGGGACTGGTGTGCTTGAAGGGAGGCACGGGAGCTGCTGCCCAGCTGGTCCTCGCCCATCAATCCCTCCCCAGCCACCCCCCACACTGGAGTGATCATCTGCAGGGCGTCAGCAGGCGCCTGGCAGCCCAGAGCTGCCTGCACAGTGGGGCTGGTGAACACCCATGGAGGGTGCTTGCGCTTGCCATGCCTCCTGCCGTGTTTCCTGCTGCCGCCCTGCTGCAGCCCCCCGTTCTCCCCCTCAACTGAACTGCCAGTCACTGTGCTGCTGCTGCTGCTGCTGCTGCTGCTGCTGCTGCTGCTGCTGCTGCTGCCAGTTTGCGTCCCAGTCAATGCATCCTGGATCACGACTTGCTCACCCGCCTTCCGTTCCTCCTGCCCCCTCTCGTCCCCCGCCACATTTTCCACCCCTCCACCTCCTTTTCCTTCTTCTCCTTCCTCCTCTGCCTCCTCCTCCCCTTCGTCCATATCCATCACCTCCAGATCTCCTTCTGTTCGCCCCAATAATCCCACCTCCTCCACTCCACTCCTCTCCCCTCCCCCTCCCCCGCCCCACCCTCTCCCCTGCCTGCTCTCCTCCCTCTCATACTCCGCCAGTCTATACTCTGCCTCCGCCCCGCAGCATGCAGCAATCGCCACGTCATCACAGAGAGGCGACAGCCGTCCAGCTGTCCGCAGCCTCCAGTACACGTGGACAGCCACCATTGGAGCGTGCTGCCGGCGCAGGGCTTGCAGCACTGCGCGGACGTTCCTCGAGGGCAACAAATAGGGGGGCCGCGTGGTGGCGCTGTCAGGTGACACGTGTACAGCCACTGTCTCTAATGGCGAGGAAGAAATTGCGCTCTCAGGCGAAACGTCAGGTATTGCTTCAGGTGACGTAGCTTCAGGTGTTGCAGGCGAAAGGCCCACAGCCTCTATCACTGTTGACTGCTCCCTCTCATTCTCACTGCTGCTGCGCACGCTGCCCCTCGTGCTCTCCATGCTGCTCATACTGCTGCTGCTGCTGCTGCTGATGCTGCTGCTGCTGCTGCTGCTATCGCCGGCATCTATCCCGCTGCAAGGTTGACTAGATCTGCTCTCCTTTTCGCTCGTCTCACCGCTGCTGACTCCAATGTTGCTTCTCTCACTGATCTCCCTCATCCGCCTCTCGCTCACGCTCAGTGGCGGGCCAGCAAGCGACAAGAGCAGCTCGTGGTTACCCGACTCTGCTGCTTCGCGCATTCGCCACAGCAGTCCGCGAATCCGATCCTTGGCCTGCCTCTCCTCAAATAGCCGATCCCGCTGCATCGGGTAACCGTGTCCCGGGTAACCCTGTCCCGGGTGAGCCTGATTGATCCACTGTGAATTCCGCATGCCGGTGTGTCTCGAGCTGCCAAGTGTCCTAACGTCTCTTGGGACATCATTGACAGGAACCCTCGGTCCATGTCCTTCGACGCTGTTACGGTTGCTGCTGCTGCTGCTGCCGTTGCTGCTGCTGCTGCTGCTGCCGTTGCTGCTGCTGCTGCTGCTGCTGCTGCCGTTGCTGCTGCTGCTGCTGCTGCAGCTGGCGTAGCAGCGACCTCTTAATGGCACGGACCGGCAATCTGCAGCGTGACTTCGGCACGAGAGGACGCTTCGAGCGGACGCTAACGGATCGGAGACAGGCGGAGGGGTCCTACAGTAAACGCTGAGAGGTTCGGCCTGCCGAACCAGACTCCGAACCGGATTCTGAACCGGATGCCGAGCCAAATCATTCGGACCGAGGCTGCTCGGCTGGCGAAGCCACCGGCGAACTAACTGTCTGTTGGCTTCGCCTGATCGCCACGCGAACGCTGAATGCGACTTACACGCGATCAGCGGCTGCACGAACACGTGGCAGTCTCGCGGAGTGGATCTGGCGATGATCGATTGACTGAGTACTCGACTGCGCGTCTCGGGAAATCTGGCAGCGGAGCGCGAAGCAGCGCGGAAGCAAGACCACATGACCCTAAGCAGTGCGGAACCGCGCTATCATCCCGCAGTCATCTATTCGCCGCCCAGCTTCGGCATAATCTAGGCTTCTCACGAAAGCGTGGTTGTGTCATTAGTAGTGCTCTGCGTAGCGCAACAATTTTGGCTTCTCACGGAAGCATTATTGTATCAAATTTGCTGGGTGTAGCACAACATTTTCCTGCAGCATATGATTTTCTTCTCCATGGATGACCCTCTTCAAACTTATCTTATTACTCTATAGAATTTTAATTCCGCAATATCCCTAATCCAATCCGCATTCTACAGTATCCACTATATGAAATGTGCATGCTGGTGAAAATAGGACTGAAGCTTCTCGTAATCTTATTGCTAACAATATGATCAGTATGTTACATCTATTGGCGTTAGAGGAGAGGGAGATAGGTATCATATGAGTGTTGTTGCCATCATCTGACAGTGTAAGCTATCACTGTTCAAGGGCCAGTACAATACAGACATTGTTGCCAAAGGAAACCTCCTCAGACCAGCAATAAGAACCCAAAATGAAATATGGTAGCATGCCATTCAAGGCCAACCTTTTCGTCCAGACGCATCCAACCATCTCTCTCTCCCCGCCTTCCTGGCAGGTACTCGGCAATCTCCGCCGTCCCACAACGTTTTTGTTCACATGCCATGTCCCTGCTCTTGCATCATCCCTCTCGACAGCTCCTGGCCAGCCTCTCACACATGTGCTTGCCCCTGCATATACTTCGCCCTCACAGCGCACTTCTTCCCAGTCTAAGAGCATCTGCCAGCTTTTGCCCTGCCTCCATACCGCTAGCCACAGCCCCCTCCACCAACCCTCCTGCTGGGCCCCCCACACAGTAGTCCCCACACGCCGCCACCCTGCCCTCCTCGCTCCACAGGCTCTTAGCCCCCCCTGCCGCCACCCCCGCCACAGGAAACGCCCCTCCCCACCGGTGCACCTTCTTCAGAATCGGCTCTACACTCTCTTCCCCCTCCTCCCCTCCCATCCCTCCTGCATTTCCCCCTCTCCCCACACTCTCACCATCCCCCCTCCCACCGCGCCTGGCCAGAATAGGCTTCACAGCGCCCCACATGTCAGCTGCCACACGGGCTAAGAGGTCAGGGGAGGGGCGGCCGGGGGGAGCAGAGGCGAGGAGGGAGGAGGCGTAGGCTGCAGTGGAGTGAACCACCCAGCACTCAGGAGACAGTCCCTCTTCTCTGCTCTCTTCCTTACACAAAACTTCTTCTCCTCTGCTCTGGACCCCTGTATCCGACTCTCCCACTTTCCTCGCCCTGCCTGGCTTGCTGCTGTCCCTGCCTATCCACCCCACCACGTCATTCCCCACCACATCCACGCCATCAAACGCCACGTGGCCAAGAGGCTCGGCGAACGCCAGCATCATCGCGAACCTGGGCGATGCCCGGACCTCCGCCAGGCCCTGCCGAACCTGTGCTAGTCTCGGCAGGTCTGGCAGGAGGACAGGCATGGTTCGGTAAGCTGCTGCAATAACCAGGCCATGGAAAAGTCCCAAGGATTCCCCGGAAGACGAGAAAAGCTCCCAGGAGGGACGGAGGGAGGTGCCCTCAGTTGACTCAGAAATTCCAGCAGGGTCCGTGCGCTCTAGCCAATCTGCACGTGCCACCTGGACGCCGAATCTAGCGTTGATCATCTCGGTGTCATTGGAGGAGGCGGAAGCCGCGGGTGGCGGGAGAAGCAGCGCCTGGCAGAGGGCGTTCATCCCAGGCACTCCCACCCACCGCCTCTTAAACCCTAATTCTCCACCTCCTTGATCTCCTTGCGCTCTTCCTTCCCCTGGTGCTGTCCCCGCGTCCTCCCCCGCCTCTGGTATAAACTCCCCCTTCTCCGCGTCCCACCCTCCGAACCGCCCCTTCCATTCCGCAAGCGCTCCCGTTCCCCCGAACCGCCGCTCCAGGAACGACAGCACGTTCGGGTCGCTGACAGTGAAGCACTGCGCGCCGTGATCGAATCTGACCTCTAGGCTCGGCAGGTCGGCTGCCTCGGAAGCATCGGCAAGTGGCGAAACAGTGATTTTCTCCCTGCGCTGCGACATGCGGCCGCCAGGACCCCTCCCCAAATCAAAGACCGCCACGTGTGCGCCGCGCTCCGCAAGGATCGACGCGGCGACGAGCCCCGAGATTCCCGCGCCTACCACCGCGATTCGTGCTGCCAAGGCCGGTGCGGAGTAAGGAGCATCGAGCTTACTAGTAGGGGCTGTCTCCATTGAGGTTGCCGAGGCGAATGGCAGCGTGCCACGTGTCGGTCGTTGGAGAGGTGCACGCGCTGAGGGTAGCTCAGCGGTATGACGTGGAAGGTGAGGATGAAGGTTTAGGGAAGCCCTGGCAGGCGTCGTAGGGCCAGTAGCGGGTGTGACACAACGCGGCGTGATGAAACCGAATTCTCTCTGGGAGGTAGCAGGGTAAATAGACGCGGCGAGTCGGAGGTGAATTGGAGAAATCCGGTGTGCGCGAAGGCGGGGGAGAGAATGGCGGGGAAAGGACCTGGAGACGAGCGAGGGGGACATTCGAATTCGAATGACCGACCCTCCTGCTGAGAGAACCAGGTGTGAAGAGGAGGAATGGCTGGGATAGAGAGTGCTCAAGGCAGCGGGAAACTCATGCGCAGAAAGAGCAGACCCAAATTATGCTAGTTTGTCAGAGCAGGCTGAGTCTAGGCCATCGGGAGATGGTGCGGGTTATGTAGGTGGGAAAGGGGAGGGGAGCTTCTCTTTCAACTCTGCACACAAGAGGCGCGAATTCAGCACCAGTGCTCCGGGCGCCGCGCCACATTCATCGTGGCTGATTTCGCCACGTGTGGTCCGATCTTCGCACGCAGCGAGTGGTGCTTGCTGCGAAAGCGTGGGCGAATGCCAGCCGATGGAATGCGGTGACGCGATTTCTCGTTATTGGCGCAACTTCTCGAGGTTGAGTTTGTTATGAATTATAACTCAGAGTATAGCGCAGAATACTATAAGGGAACGTGATTACAGAATCCTCCTGAATAATGAGACCTAGGGCTTATATAGTGTGAGTTGACCAGGTCAAAATGTCAAGGGTTGGACCAGTCAAGGGCTAGGTAGTCCCGAGGGTGACGGGGTCAAAACGGGTTCGGGGCGAGTCAGGGTCAGGTTGGGGCCGAAAAGGACGTCAAGGGCTGGTTTGGCGCGATAAACCAGGGCCGAGCCTGCAGACCCGCACTGTTCGCTGTACTCGCTGTGGCGAGTACCTGTAAGGAATCGGAATTCCTTACACTCTCCCCCCTTCTAAAGGAAAGCCCTCCCTTTATCGAGGTCGAACCTTTTATCTAAATTAATCCCCGAAGTGACTGTAAGTCTTCAACCCTGTGACGAGCGTAATGATTACGCCGGCCTGACGAGGTCTTGAGGTGGAACTGAAATCGATGGTCAGAAAGCATCGAAGATGGTCGAATTCTTCTGGTGACTAAACGGGCAAGGGTAAATACTCCAGCGGAAAGATAATGACCAGTGAAACCGCCGAATGGTCGATTGATGATGGTGCCTGGCGGCTGAATTTCTTGAAATGATGACAGGCGAATAACGCGATGGTCGATGAATATGAAGGACCCGTTCGTCAAATGCGAGGTCGTTCGAGTCACATGCGAGAGCACGCGTCCGTGTCCCACGAAAGTCAGCGAACTCTATCAACGAATTGACGAAATTGTCAAACATGTCTATTTGTTATGTTTGTATAGACTGTATAGGGTAGCCTCTTAGAGGGTACAACACTTAGCTATATTGTGTGTACTCTCCCCCTATCACCATCATTCAATTTTCTGATATGGTATCACGCGTAGGTAGGATCCCCCCCCCACCTACCGCTTCCGCTCATGCCCCCTAGCGCCCCTCCTGGGCCCCGTCGCGCTCCTCCCAGGCCCCATCGCGCTCCTCCCAGGCCCCGTCGCGCCCCTCCTAGGCCCTCTAGCGCCCCTCCTGGGCCCCGTCGCGCTCCTCCCAGGCCCCCTAGCGCCCCTCCTGGGCCCCGTCGCGCTCCTCCCAGGCCTCGTCGCGCCCCTCCTGGGCTCCGTCGCGCCCCTCCTGGGCCCTGTAACGCCCTCCCAGGCCCCGTCGCGCTCCTCCCAGGCCCCATCGCGCTCCTCCCAGGCCCCGTCGCGCCCCTCCCAGGCCCTCTAGCGCCCCTCCTGGGCCCCATCGCGCTCCTCCCAGGCCCCGTAGCGCCCCGTCGCGCCCCTCATGGGCCCCGTAGCGCCCCCTCCTGGGCCTCGTCGCGCCCCTCCTGGGCTTCGTAGCGCCCCTCCTGGGCCCTGTAACGCCCTCCCAGGCCCCGTCGCGCCCCTCCCAGGCCCCGTCGCGCTCCTCCCAGGCCCCCTAGCGCCCCTCCTGGGCCCCGTCGCGCTCCTCCCAGGCCTCGTTGCGCCCCTCCTGGGCCCCGTAGCGCCCCTCCTGGGCCCCGTCGCGCCCTCCTTGGGCCCTGTAGCGCCCCTCCTGGGCCCCGTCGCGCCCCTCCCAGGCCCCGTCGCGCCCCTCCCAGGCCCCGTAGCGCCCCTCCTGGGCCTCGTTGCGCCTCTCCTGGGCCCCCCGTCGTGCCCCTCCTGGGCCCCGTAGCGCCCCTCCTGGGCCGCGTCGTACCCGTCGCCGCCGCCCGGCCCCGTCGCGCCGCCCGGCGCCGTCGCTGCCGCCCGGCCCCGTCGCGCCCGCCCGGCGCCGTCGCACCCTGCCCGGCCCGTCGCGCTCGCCCGGCCCCGTCGCAGCCGCCCGGCTCCGTCGCACCCGCCCGGCCCCGTCGCACCCTGCCCGGCCTCGTCACAGCCGCCCGGCCCCGTCGCACCAGCCCGGCCGCCGTCCCGCTCGCCCGGCCCCGTCGCACCGGGCCGGCCCTGCCGCACTCGCCCGGCCCGTCGCCCCAGCCCGGCCCCGTCGCGCCCGCTCGGCCCCGTCGCCCTGTCCCGGCCCTGTCGCATCAGCCCGGCCCCGTCGCGCCCGCCCGGCCCCGTCGGGCCAGCCCCGGCCCCGTCCTCCTCACTGGTACGGTTCCCCCCCCCCCCCCCCCCACCCCGCCCTGCTCCGTGCCGCCCTGCACCGCACTGCACCGCACTGCACCGCACTGTACCGCACAGCACCGCACTGTACCGCACAGTACCGCCCTGCCCGCACTGCACCGCACTCGCACACTGCACCCACTGCACCGCACTGCACCGCCCTGCACAGCACTGGACTGTTCCTGATGGCGGCGGAGCTTCGCTTCGACGCTGAAGGTCAGCCCCTAGAGTTCGAGGCGTGGCTTGCCGACCTCCGCCGCCAACTCACTGGCCAGCGGCAGGATGGTGAACCGCTTTCCGCACACCTTGACGGTACGCTCCCCTGCCCAGACCCTCCTGCTATTCTGCCCGCTGACCCCACACCCACTGAGCGTGAGTCTACTGCTGCCACTGCCCGTGCGCGCTCTGTCTGGCTTTCTCGCGATGCTGTCGCCCAGCTTGTCATTAGCAACGCCCTCCCCCCGTCCGAGCGTCCTCGCTTTAGGTCCCTCGCTACTGCTCAGGCATACTTAGATGCTGTCATCAAGCGCTATTCCACCCCTCCGGCTGCTTCGGTGGGTCGCCTGATCCTCCCGCTGCTCTTTCCTGACCTTGCTTCGTTCCCCACTGTCTCTGACCTCGCTGCCCACCTGCGCTCGATAGAGGAGACCTGGCGCGCCGCCTGCACTGACGCACAGCTTAGAGCCCACCAGCCGCCCATTACCTCTACCCTCTACCTGCTTGCCACCCGCCTCCCTGACCGCCTTGCTGTCGCCCGCGACCGCTTCCTCAGTGTTCACCCCGCAGACCTCACCCTCCCTGACTTTGTCGACACCCTGACTGTGATAGAGACCCGTCACCGCTCCATCGCCCAGGCGAGCGGTGTCGTGCCGGTCCCTATCTTTCAGGGTTGTGCCCCTGCTCAGTGTACCTTCTCCGACGGCTCTGCCGCAGTGGCTGAGACTGCTGCTGCAGCGCAGGCCCGTTCGGGGAAGGGCCGCCGCCCCAAGGCTGGGCGCGGCGGAGGGGGCGGCGGGGTGCGGGCGGGGGTAGTGGTGGGGTCGGGTCGCCTGGTGCTGGAGCGGACGAGGGGACCCTGCCCAGTCCAGCTGAGTCGCCGCCCCTGCAGTTGCAGCAGCCGCAGCAGCCGCCGCAGTCGCAGCCTTCGCAGCAGCCGCAGCAGCCGTCGCAGACGCGGCAGACGAGTGTTCTCCCGCCAGGGTGGCCCGGCGCTGGCGGTGGACGGGCGCGTGGTGGTGTGCCGCGAGGTGGCTCTTCCGGCGGGCGTTGTCAGTACCAGATCCAGACCGGTCCTCGCCGCGGTTTCGTTTGCGGTAAGATCGGTCACTCCACTCCCCGCTGTTTTCGTCGCCTGGACGACCTCTTTCGTCAGCGTTTCGGCCCGTCGCCAGACCTCCCGGACTGGCACAGTTTGCTTAGTCGTCAGGTTCAGATCTTTGATATGGACATGGATGCCATTGTTTCTGCTCTGCATGTGATGTATGCTGATGACTCTAGTGTGCTTCCGACTTATTACTCACTGTTGCCTAGTGTAGGTGTGCCTAGCTTAGCCCCCCCTGCTGCGTCAGGCGTAGGATCCCCTGCTTTGTGTAGTCTTGGTGCTTCTGCCGTCGTTCCGTCGCCAGACCCCTCGGCTTCGCTTTCCTTCACCTTGGACTCTGGCGCCTCTCGGTGTTTCTTCCGCGACTCCAACACCTTGATGCCGCTTCCTGTTCCTGCTGCCGTTTCTCTTGCTGACCCCTCCGGCGGTCCGGTAGTCGCCCGCAGTTCCACCACCCTTCCCTGTCCGGCGGTTCCTTCGGGCTCTCTTACAGGTCTGCATATCCCCTCGTTCTCCAGGAACCTAGTTGGTGTCGGCTGCCTCCAGGACCTTGGCGTCACCACTACGTTCCCTGGTCACGAGCGGTATGCTGTCTGTACCGAGGCCGCCACTGGTGCCCCCCTGTCCACGTTCCCCCGGGACCCGGTGTCCGGCCTGTTCACTCTGGACACCGTGCCCCCCCAGCTGGAGCGCCCCCTCAGGTGGCTGTGTCTACCCAGGTTGCTGCTGCGTGCTCCTGTCGCTCCCTCACTCACCCGACCCTCCTGTGGCACCACCGCCTAGGTCACCCTGCGCTCCCGCGTCTGCGTCACATGTCCCAGCACGGTCTTGTCCTTGGTCTCCCAGGTTCACTCCCCGCGTTTCCCTCCTCCCCAGCTCCACCTTGCACGCCTTGTGTCGAGGGTCGGCTTCGCCGTGCCCCTCACTCCTCCTCGTTCCCCCCTACCGTCGCGCCGCTGCAGACCCTGCACCTGGACGTCTGGGGCCCCGCCCCCGTCCCTGGGCCGCGTCGCGAGCGCTACTTCCTTGTGCTTGTCGACGACTTCACTCGTTACACCACAGTCTTTCCCCTGGAGCGCAAGGCCGACGTGCCTGGCGCCCTCATCCCCTGGCTTGTCTCTGCGCGTGTCCACCGCGGTCTCCCTGTCTTGCGTCTTCACTCAGACCGTGGTGGCGAGTTTGCCTCAGGTGTCCTTGGTCGCTTTTGTCGTGCGGAGGGCATCACCCAGACGTTCACCCTACCGGACTCCCCACAGCAGAATGGGGTCGCTGAGCGACGCATCGGCTCGGTCATGGAGGTCGCTCGCACCTCCATGGTCCATGCCGGTG